AAGTAATAATTTACGAACGTTGTGCTGAAAAACATCTAAAATCTAAAAATAATCATGGAATTATATTTTGCTTCAACATTGTGACCGTCATTATTTGATGACGTCATGAAGATAAGAGCATGACGTTACGCGGCAAAAATTAGTAAAATGGTGTAAAAATCGTTAAAAAATCATGAAATAAACAGAAAATTTGTTTGTTTTACATGTGAGATCAAATAATATTTCACTCGTGAACCCCAGCTATTATATTTTCACTCGTGGCTACGCCACTCGTGGAAAATATTGCATCTGGTGTTCACTCGGTGAAATATTTTTCGATCTTACACTGAAACAAACAAATATCCTCTATGTAATTTATTTGTTATTTAACTACTTCATTCGATGAGGCGGTGAAAGATTTATTATAAAGAACCAATATAAATAAAACTTTTATTTCTTCTTCCTTAATTAAATTTACTGTCTTTTCTGCTATTAAAGCCTGCATGCAGTCTTAGGAAACGGACGAGAAGTTTATTGTTTTAATTACATTGTTCATAGATCTGATCGGAAAGTAGGACAGAAAAGAACATATATTTATTTTATTTGACTTAAACATTAGAAGACCATTGAACTTAAACAAATATGTTGTGTTTTATTAAAGAATATGAAAATGAATAAACTGTTTTCGTTTTTAAATTGAGATAAATAATTATTTTGCTTTTTCATTTTTTTTCTGTCGTGGAGCTTTATATTATTTGTAATGAATGTTTTTGGGAGAATTATTAAAGAAAATATAGCATTTATTTTCTTGTAAAGGAAAAAAAACCTATTCAGACAGTTCGACAGTAATTATAGACGACTCTAGTTATCATCCGCCGTATAAATCGTAGATAAGATCAGATCAGATCAGAAATCTGTTTTTTTTATCGTGACATTTGTGTACATACAAATTATTGTTACTTATAAATTATAAATAACACAACCACACCCGACCCAATGGGCCCATAATCCATCTTAAATCATAACACAATTATTTATCATGCAATGTTTGTTCTGTCTAGGACATATATATGATGTTTTGTTGGGATTTAAAGGGAGACACAGGCAAAATTTTTCATTTCTTAGTTTTGAATTTTTCGTTCCTAATTCTGTAAATGCCCTCAAAATAAATATATTAGACAGTCAAAGGAACAAAACTTTTCTCCATATAATGAATTAAATGGCGGTTTCCTAACCTGACCCGCGTGGGTCAGGTTAGAGCGCTAGGATTTCACAATAGTTGTCACAGTGAACTCTGGAAACGTTAAAGAACATGTCAAATGAATGATTTAGGTTTGTTTCAATCATACAATATCCACAGTATCTGTTAATGTAACTTCAACGATTTGTTCAAGTCACCTGACTTGTTTTAAAATTATTCGGTAATTCTATTGGCGTCTAAATTTTGTTCAACATATATAGATATATTTATGCTTCAAATCCAAAATATATAGAATTTAAACAGAAATTTATGCTGAAACTTTTAGAAATGTCATTTTAGCGCGAGTTAAGTACAAAAGATCATTTTAATATTATTGTCATTATTTTGCCTGAATATCCCTTTAAAATCCAACGAAATTTAGGATTTTGTCCTTGACAAAACAAACATATTGCATGATAAATGATATGAGCCGCGTCACGACAAAACCAACGTAATGCGTTTGCGACCAGCATGGATCCGGACCAGCCTGCGCATCCGCGCAGTCTAATCAGGATCCATGCTGTTCGCTTACAGACCCTATAACAAGTAAAGAAACTGATAGCGAACAGCATGGATCCTGATCAGACTGCGCGGAAGCGCAGGCTGGTCTGGATCCATGCTGGTCGCAAACCCATTATGTTGGTTTTGTCATGACGCGGCTCAATTATTGTGTTTTATTACATGCTTTTCGGTGGTTTATAGAAATATATCAGTGAAAAAAAAATGATAATTTCACTGTTTGAGACAGTGAAATTACCACTTTGATAATTTCACTGTTTTGAATTTAAGCCCCTTACGTTGTTTCAGTGAAATACCAGCGTGCACAGTACTGGGTACCAACTTAATGACGTGACGTCGTAAATGACGTCACGTTGTATTATTATTTGGCGCGCTTTTCATTCAGTATTAGGTTTAATTTCTTTTTAAAACGTTTCTTTGCATATAATAAAAAGAAAAATTGATTAGTTTAGTGTAAGATCGAAATATATTTCACCTTGTGAACACCAAAAGTTCATATTTCACTCGTGGCTGCGCCACTCGTGAAATATACCTTTTGGTGCTCACTCGGTGAAATATATTCTGATCTTACACTGAACTAAACAAATATCCTCTATATGATTTAAGATGACTTGTGGATATCAAGCTGATTACGCCACTGGATCTAGGGTCAAGGCGGCAGTTTCAAATATTTCTGAACATTCGATGAAGCTTTCGTCTTTCTGTTCGCCCCGCAAAAAACATAATTTATACCTTATCATTCCAAAGTTATAAGATCTCAATAAAGTTTAGTTAATGGATTCTTTAGTAAAAAAGTAAACTACATGTATTCTCTAATGCATAATGAAGTTCTCTTGTACAACTATAGTATTGTGTTTAAATCGATCTGTGATTTAGAATGCAATGTATATAAACCATGCCTGGTTTTGAATTATACATTATTACTGGAAATAAAGTTTGAATAATTATCGCATGTAATTAATATGCTTCTTAAATTATGCAACATTTTGTTTTTTATATTGTTCTTTTACAATACACGGCAATTGGAGCTTACACTTTGTTACCTAAAATGCTTTCAATAACAAAACAAAATGAAAAAAGTCTGGATGAGTGATTCAATTAATAAACATATTGATTAATCATATGTGTATCTTCAAGATTTAAATCCCATACTGTTTACTATAATAATAAATTACTATTTTAAGTGATTGGTGGATATGGCCACCTGAAAGTGTGAGCTGCATCATCAATGCACATATTGTTCGTTTGTTTTGATTTTACGGCGCATCAACACAGTATAGGTCATATGGCTCCGAAACAGGAAAGATGACTTTGGCTAACCTCGAGTATTACAAACTTCATAGCAACACCAGGGTCAAAAACATCTCACCTGCTGGAGGTAAGAGATGTCCAGTTACTCGAACCCATTTAGTCACCTCTTAACGATAACGCAGTGATAAAAATGGTGGGCTTTCAACCATTAAAGGCAACTGTTCAGCCACAAGGGTCATGTGCACCGATCGTATGTAAATACGATTTGACTTGACCTTAGTTAATAGAATTTGGAAACCTTTAAACTGGAATACAGAATATACTTCAGTCTATTCATAATAAAAAATCTAATTATGATCGAGGTGTTTATATCATTTATTTGCTGACCTAGTAATTCAATTATGTCATCAGAGGTTACTTCCCTTTTATGTTCGGTTGAAAAGTAAATATTTCATTGTCGTCTACTTGACATGACCTCCAGAAGTTAAATAACAGGTGGGAAATTATTAAAATCTCATAAATTTGTCGACAGCTTTTCTTAACTGCAATTTATTATTCAATGCTAGGTCAATATTTGACTTGGTTCCAAATATAAAACTGTGGTATCCGAACGGATATTTCGTCAATGATATTATTTGATTATTTTCATAAAATGATGGCTATAGGGTATAAAGCTAAATCTTAGTACGATATAATCGACTTGCATGCATATTTAGTATTTTTCAGTAAATGAAATGGCAGATGGACACTTAATAAGCCTAGAACGGTTATTTTTTATAAAATTTATCAATACTAGAAATATATTGGTTCCATATTCTTATGGCCGATTCTCAAAAGAGAAAAGAATAGAATGTCTCTGTCATTTAACACACATAATTATTGTATATCTAAGTAAACAGAATCAAAACATGATTCTGTTATTTTGAGAAGGGCTTTATCCGTTGAGAATGATTCCGATCATGCGCCATTCACTTTTAGGCAATTTCATTTACTACCTTATTTATTTCACGCAAGCATTTTAGACGTTTTCTTATTTTTTTAATTCAGACAATGATTTTTGCAGAAAATATACATGTATAGCTTTATTAAAAATATTCAGCAGTCATTTATGACAAACTTTTAAAACAGTCGAAATTTTTTAAAAGTTTTAAATGATATAAAGATGGAGGCATACAGTTTACAACTACATGTAAATGTAAGCTCCATATATAATGCTGCTAAACAAACAAGTTAGTCGTATAATTTCTTAAATACGTTATGTGCATGGCTTATGAAGCGCAGTTTTACTGTGTAGATGGTACAACAGCCGTCATTTACAAATTTTGGTCTAGCTAGAGCCCTGCGCTGGTGTATTGTAAGGAATCTGTAAAAAAAATATCTTGCTATGTAACATTTTCATTCCTAGGAATCGTCAACTGATAAGGTAAGGCGAGCAGACGACAATACAGTACAGTCATATTTCTTCCTTTTAGCAGGATATAATTACATTTTCCTGTCAAATCTTAAATGAAATTCTAAATAATACAACACTGTTTACTTATCTTTATTTAATCTGTACATAATACATTTATAACGTATACATAATACAAATAAATTCTTGAATAAATTTAACATTATTTTGAGACAGACCAATTCCTTTATTTCATCAATATTCATAAACTATGCTTAAAAATAGCTTTAAAACTAGTATCAACATTAAGTTAATCCTTTATTTATTATATAATACATATATATGCTCATTTTGCATTTTCATGCATCAGTCAAATGTCTTATTGTAGATTATAAGGATCTTACACCGGCTGCTGGCACAGACAGGAATATCTAGCTTAATTGAGGGTAACTGTTTACGGCGGTAACGAGGCTGTGCTGACATATCGATGAACAGTTACCCGAGAGCTAAATATTTCTGTCTGTGACGACAGGCGCTGTTTGAATATTTTCCTTGCATATTAGCCATTTTTCTTACAGCAACATATGCATTAACAACGTGATAACGGCAAAAATGTCATTTTAACCCTTTCACTGCCATAGGGACGGCTTAAGCCGTCCCTGTTAATTTCGGCGTATTTGCCATATGGACGGCTTTAGCCGTTTTCTATAAGAATGATAGTAATAATAATAAATTAATAATAATAATAATAATAATAAATATAAAGAAAATTATACCATCGACAATAATTATTATTATACTAACATAATTGGAAACATATATAATTATTATTATAATAATATTAATAACAAATAGTAATAATTATATTAATTAATAATATAGTAATTTCTTAGAAAATCCTCTGGCAAATAGGTGAACAATAAAACAATAACCCTCTGGCAGCGAAAGGGTTAAGAATGCAGTTCATTCATAAAAGGCGCGCAGGTATGACGTCATGTAAAGCACGCGACCTGTCTTCCAGGGGTGTAAACAGGATGTAAAAAAGCAGATTATCCTGCCTGATATGTATACACTAGAAAATGTCAATTTTACGTGTTTAACATATATTTGAATCTTGGATATATTTTGCTATAAAATGACTTGTATTAAAAAACGGGAAACAATGAGAGAACTGCATTGTAAAATACACTCAACTCAAATAAACCGACTTTTAAAAACAATATTGCATTTTATAATATTTAAAAAAAAAACAAAAAAAACCCCAAAAAACATTGCACATTATATATTGCACATTTACATATATTTATTGATTCTCAACCATTTCCTATGTAAACTTCACTTTTTGTCAAATAATTTCAATACAAAATAAGTTATTGTAGATATCTTGAGAATAAATGTTTTCCCTGTAGAAATAAACTCCTGTAAAAAATAAAGCTATTTATTTCACGAAATATTTAGCATAAATATTGCATTGCACATTTTTGTAAAAAAAAAAAAACAGCAACAAACCAACTCAACATTCTTAAGACCAAAAATACAACAAATGCAACAGAACAGCCCAACCTATAATTGGCTATAAATGAGTATTAACACTAAATCATATCAACTTAAGTGATACAATATGCATACAAACAAAATGACAAAATAAGCACTAATTTAACTACTGGATTCACTCATTGTTCGTAAACTTAAACCATCCCTAGTTTCAGTCACTTGTTCAGAGTTAGTATCGTATCTGTAAGTCTTGTTTTCAAAGCCGTCATTATTATCCAACCCAAACTTCAATTGTCGACCCATCGTTGTGTTGCGGCGCAAGTACAGTGCTATCAAGACAACCAGTAAAATAACTATGATAGTTGCTAATATCACCCCGGCCAAACCACCTGCTGACATTCCTAGAATTGTTGTTGAGGTTTCTAAAACAAACAAACAATAGTTGAAACGATGAAGATCTATTGATGGGCTTGTCTTTAACAAAACATAATACAAAATAACTAGAACTTTTTATATTGCATGTACATGTACATTGATTTATTGATTTGCTAAATTTTAAATTACACAGACACTGTTAAGGTTTTAAAGTTAACTGGTTGAGGAAGATCTAATGTATCCCTCCCTCTGTGCATTATTACAGGCATGGATCGGCACCTTGGCATATAACCGGATGGTTTCCTCACATAAAATACGAGTATGTCAACATCCATGGAGTCCCCTAGAAAAGTGTTAGTCATTTCAGATTTTGGAGGATAGTGCAAGATACAGAAAGATATCCATATTCCAGAATGTTCGCATGCCAAGTGTTAACCCATTACTTCATATACACGCCTTTTAACGCCTTTTTCACCCCCCCCCTTTTTTGTTGTCTCAAATGATGAAAAAATGCCTTATTTAGGCCCCAAACACTTGTTTTTGTTTGAGAAATGTTGTTAAAAAAGTGACCTCTTTTTCGGCACGGTCCCCCAACCAAAAGATACATCAGGGGGTTGCCAGAAGTGGGATGTGCCCCCTTCTGTTTGGGGGGTTTGAAGGGGGGCGGAGTCCCCCTCATCGCCAAGAAACATTTTGGACTTGTGAGAGGCTGTAAATGACCCCAGATTGATCATAAGGTAACGTGTAACCAACGCTGAAAAGCATTTGACTCTATCTCAATCCATTGAGAAAGTGCAGCACTTTGAAATCAATTTTGATGGAAAAAATCAACGCAAAATAGTGATTTTTGGCAATTTTGAGATGTCCCCTCGTTGCCATGGTAACAGAAAATTTAAGCCTGAGCATGTTGTTGCAAGTGCAATGGTCCAGTCAACATTTGTGCCAAGTTTGATTAGTGTTGAAGCAGTTTTTATAGTATTATAGCAATTTGAACTTGTAACGGGAGACTTTTCAATGAAAACAGCCATTTTTCACAAAATGCTCATGAAGTAATGGGTTAATGAAAAAAATAAAAAAATCTACAAAACAACAATTTTTCTTCAAATTTATATGACAGGCCATGTTTAAACATGAAAAAACGCGATTTAGGGTAATTTCAAGTATTTTTATCATTTTCAGTTAACCCATTACTTCATATACACGCCTTTTAACGCCTTTTTCACCCCCCCCCCTTTTTTGTTGTCTCAAATGATGAAAAAATGCCTTATTTAGGCCCCAAAACACTTGTTTTTGTTTGAGAAATGTTGTTAAAAAAAGTGACCTCTTTTTCGGCACGGTCCCTCAACCAAAAGATACATCAGGGGGTTGCCAGAAGGGGATGTGCCCCTTCTGTTTGGGGGGTTTGAAGGGGGGGCGGAGTCCCCCTCATCGCCAAGAAAAATTTTGGACTTGTGAGAGGCTGTAAATGACCCCAGATTGATCATAAGGTAACGTGTAACCAACGCTGAAAAGCATTTGACTCTATCTCAATCCATTGAGAAAGTGCAGCACTTTGAAATCAATTTTGATGGAAAAAATCAACGCAAAATAGTGATTTTTGGCAATTTTGAGATGTCCCCTCGTTGCCATGGTAACAGAAAATTTAAGCCTGAGCATGTTGTTGCAAGTGCAATGGTCCAGTCAACATTTGTGCCAAGTTTGATTAGTGTTGAAGCAGTTTTTATAGTATTATAGCAATTTGAACTTGTAACGGGAGACTTTTCAATGAAAACAGCCATTTTTCACAAAATGCTCATGAAGTAATGGGTTAATGAAAAAAATAAAAAAATCTACAAAACAACAATTTTTCTTCAAATTTATATGACAGGCCCATGTTTAAACATGAAAAAACGCGATTTAGGGTAATTTCAAGTATTTTTTATCATTTTCAGTTAACCCATTACTTCATATACACGCCTTTTTTACGCCTTTTTCACCCCCCCCCCCTTTTTGTTGTCTCAAATGATGAAAAAATGCCTTATTTAGGCCCCAAACACTTGTTTTTGTTTGAGAAATGTTGTTAAAAAAAGTGACCTCTTTTTCGGCACGGTCCCCCAACCAAAAGATACATCAGGGGGTTGCCAGAAGGGGGATGTGCCCCCTTCTGTTTGGGGGGTTTTGAAGGGGGGGGGAGTCCCCCTCATCGCCAAGAAAAATTTTGGACTTGTGAGAGGCTGTAAATGACCCAGATTGATCATAAGGTAACGTGTAACCAACGCTGAAAAGCATTTGACTCTATCTCAATCCATTGAGAAAGTGCAGCACTTTGAAATCAATTTTGATGGAAAAAATCAACGCAAAATATGTGATTTTTGGCAATTTTGAGATGTCCCCTCGTTGCCATGGTAACAGAAAATTTAAGCCTGAGCATGTTGTTGCAAGTGCAATGGTCCAGTCAACATTTGTGCCAAGTTTGATTAGTGTTGAAGCAGTTTTTATAGTATTATAGCAATTTGAACTTGTAACGGGAGACTTTTCAATGAAAACAGCCATTTTTCACAAAATGCTCATGAAGTAATGGGTTAATGAAAAAAATAAAAAAATCTACAAAACAACAATTTTTCTTCAAATTTATATGACAGGCCATGTTTAAACATGAAAAAACGCGATTTAGGGTAATTTCAAGTATTTTTATCATTTTCAGTTAACCCATTACTTCATATACACGCCTTTTAACGCCTTTTTCACCCCCCCCTTTTTTGTTGTCTCAAATGATGAAAAAATGCCTTATTTAGGCCCCAAACACTTGTTTTTTGTTTGAGAAATGTTGTTAAAAAAAAGTGACCTCTTTTTCGGCACGGGTCCCCAACCAAAAGAACATCAGGGGGTTGCCAGAAGGGGGATGTGCCCCCTTCTGTTTGGGGGGTTTGAAGGGGGGCGGAGTCCCCCTCATCGCCAAGAAAAATTTTGGACTTGTCAGAGGCTGTAAATGACCCAGATTGATCATAAGGGTAACGTGTAACCAACGCTGAAAAGCATTTGACTCTATCTCAATCCATTGAGAAAGTGCAGCACTTTGAAATCAATTTTGATGGAAAAAAATCAACGCAAAATAGTGATTTTGGCAATTTTGAGATGTCCCCTCGTTGCCATGGTAACAGAAAATTTAAGCCTGAGCATGTTGTTGCAAGTGCAATGGTCCAGTCAACATTTTGTGCCAAGTTTTGATTAGTGTTGAAGCAGTTTTTATAGTATTATAGCAATTTGAACTTGTAACGGGAGACTTTTCAATGAAAACAGCCATTTTTCACAAAATGCTCATGAAGTAATGGGTTAAAGCACTCATACTCAGTACAAAATAAACTAAGGAAAGACTGATTAAACATTTTAGTTGGCCAGCCCGGGAATCGGAACCCACAATGTTGAGATTACAAGTTTCGCACTCTAACCAATTGATTTATGCTATTGATTTATGGGTGCTGGCAACTATGATCTTAACCAGTTGATTATGCTATTATATGTCTACATACTTGATTAAAAAGCAACTAGTTGTAAAAGTTTACATGTAACATAATTACCTGTATCAGCAGCTTGTAACGGTTGTGCTGTACTACCTCCTGTATATGGTCTCATTGAAAGAGACGGTAAAGCACCAGTCAGTGGGTTAGAGTTGTCAGAAACCACGGGTAATGGTTTCCTTGTTGTCACGGTTACATAGGGCACGTTCTGTGACTGAGGTGACACTGGAGGTTTATCTGTCTGAGGTGATATCTGTGATACACCTTTAGATGGTGGGGAGGGTGTACGCTGTATTGGCAGTATGGAGGGACGTGTAAATGGTATAGGTGTTGGAACATTGATTGGTGCTCCTCCTGTACCAATATGTATCTTGCTGTTATCTACAACTGAAAACAAATATCAATAGCATGTTATTTATAATATAAATATAATACTAAATAATAATAAACGTATCCTTTAAGACATCAGACTGGTTTTTTTTATTTATATATTAAGAATTATGACACAGACATTTAGTTGAAGACAAATCTTTAGAAAGAAATTTCTTGAAAGAAAGTGAAACAATTGATTATATAACCAAACTTCTTACACAATTTTTCTCTGAATTAAAAGTATGTTAATGAAAAGAAATCGTTTTGTTACAAGGTAAGCAAACAGCAATGACATAATTGTATGTAATTTGTTTGACCTCAACACTTGATAATCCAGTAATAAGAAACATGCTAGCATAGAAAATAAATCTCATACACTGTAAGAATTCCCTTTATTACATGCTTTTCGATGGTTTATAGAAATATATCAGTGAATTAAAACTGGTAATTTCACTGTTTGAAACAGTGAAATTATCAATTTGATAATTTCACTGTTTTGAATTTAAGCCCCTTACGTTGTTTCAGTGAAATACCAGCGTACACAGAACTGGAAACCAACTTAATAAAGTGACGTCGTAAATGACGTCACGTTGTATAATTATTTGGCGCGCTATTCATTTAGTATTAGGTAAAAATTTCCTTTTTAACGTTTGTTTGCATATAATAAAAAGAAAATTTGTTTAGTAGTGAAATATATTCCGATCTTACACTGAACTTAACAAATATCCTCAATGTAAACAGCCTATAATGAGTCTGAGCCCTGTATTTGCTTTTTTCTGACTGGACTTGCCACTCTCTCCTATTAATTATCAATTTTGGCTATATATATAGATGAACTAGAAATGTGTCCATAGGACACGGGTGCCCCCACACTCCACCCAGGTGCACAACTACACATGCTGAGCAACATTCCAATAAGGTTTCATGACTCTAGGTCAAATATTTTTTGATTTACGTGTGACACAAGTTGAAAATTGCAAATTTTTACTAAGTCAAGGGCAATAACTATAAAAATACTAAAAATATCCACACGAAAATACCCAGGTGCACAACTACACATGCTGAGCAACATTCCAGTAAGGTTTCATGACTCTAGGTCAAATATTTTTTGAGTTACATGCGACACAAGTTGAAAATTGCAAATTTTTACTAAGTCAAGGGCAATTATTCTAAAAATACTAAATATATTCACACAAAAATACCCAGGTGCAACTTCACATGCTGATCAACATTTCTGTAAGGTTTCATGACTCTAGGTCAATAACTTTTGAGCTACGTGCGACACAAAAAGGGAATGGACGGACAAGGGTAAATCTTAATCCCCCCCCCCCCCTATAGTGGGGGCACAAAAAAAATGAAATTGACCAGCCCATAATTTCAGAGCTTTGTTAACAGTGATAAAGACTATTTAACTATTTAAGATTATTCCAACATAATTATGGTAAATAAATTACCTGGACTTTTCTCACAGACAAAAAGTCTTTTACTATTGCAGTCTTCATCATTCCATTTTCCATCTGACAAAAATACCTCGGCACAATTCTCCGAGTTTCCTGCCCATCCTCGAGTGGATGGTTCCCCTTTTCTCCAGTTAGTAAACTGTACTGGCGATCTGTCTATCCACTGGAAACCAGCTGAAGCAAAAATTAAGTAATGTAGCCTCTCATTCATTCACTTGTTATTTATCCCAAATAATAAATAATGTTTTCTATTGATTAAACCATAACTTCAACCCTGTTAAATGGCTAATTATAAATATTTCAAGAAAATCCCTCTTGAGAAAAATGTACTGAGATTTTAAGAAATGTAAAAAGATTCAAGATAAAAGTAATATGTTTATGTTATGAGCAATAAATGACCTATTGTGAAGTATTTTTCTAAATATATCTACTGTGTTACAAACACATTACATGTAAATGGTATTTTTGCATAGTTTGACCTCTTTTTGCTAAATTACATGGGTTGTATTTTAAGTGCCTTGTGTAAATTATTTTCTTTCTTTGTTCTCTTTACAAAATTTTACTTTTTTATACATTTTCAATTTTTTTTTATGAAAATAAGCAAGAATCTGGAGGAGTGCTGCTTTAAAGTCAGTAATTTTAGCAACAAAGTACTGTAACAAAATGGTAAAAGCTATCAAAACAACATTTATTTCTTCAAAATATTCTAGCAACTTCAAAGGCAAGCTTTAAAAGCATTTAAAAGGATTCTGATAAAAGTGAAGTTGTACTTGTTGAAATGTCATATTGTTAAACAGCTATGGTTTATTCTCAATTTTTGCCTTTTGTCTCATCATGTGAATGCAAACCAAAAACATAAGCATGAAATAAATACTAATATCTGATATGATAATTTAATGTTAATGTATATGCAATATTAAATCTTGCTAATATAAAAGTAAAGTTGTCACTCACAATCAATTGACTTGTGTAGACCCGTCCAGAAACTCTGCCCATTCACTGCCAATGAGTTCATTGTTTTAACAAGATACTGGTTCAGTGTTTGGTTATGAATGGAAACAAGCGCCCCCTGGTGTTGCTGACAGTAGAACTCCGCATCTAGAGCTGATCGTGGTATATTCACACCAAGGTAGTAACAGTGACTTTTCCATGAATACCAGCCTGGGTCACACAGTGCATTAGGGGCTGGAGGGGTCAATGACGGGGATGCTACAATAAAAAAAAGAACATTTCAGAATTACCAGACGTCATTGACCAAAAATGGGAATTCAATGAAAATTTCTTTACTATGTTCCTATATTACAAGACAATCAAACTATTGAATAAGAATCATCATTCAGGTGTTATAATGATGAAGTAATACATTATATTGTCAATATAATATGCATCATACACAGCTAAGAATACAAATTAATGCAAACTAATAAATACATGCAATATAAAATGTTAATTTATCTGCTGTTTTAACCTTGAAGATTATACCAATGCAACAGAGACTTATTCTTAAAATTTGATCTTCACATTTTCCCTGCATTATAACTTCATAGAACAATCTAGAATTATTCTCAGTCATCAAATATTATACAAACTTAATTACCAGTGGATATTTTACAGATGGCTGGATACGATGCTGAACAGTTAGTTTCGATCCATCTTCCTGTGGTATTGGCAATCACACAACCTTGACCGCCAACAGGCTGACCAGCATCCCAGTTGCTGTACACTACTGGCCAGTTATCTGTCCATGTATATGTTCCAGATTGCTGAATATAGAGTTTAAAGGCACATTATGCCTCATAAAAGAATAAATTTTTCATTCTAAATAAAAAGCAGACATTATTTTGATAACCGTTAAAATTAATAATGGTTTTAGAGCAATTGTTACATGGTTTTCTGACCCAAAGAATTAAGCGCTTAATGTGAAATAATTTGTTCTAAAAGTAGCAAAATGTAAACAAAGTAGTATTTTGACTTCCATTCAAAATAATGACTGTCATTCAAAATGCTAAATCACTATATCTGTTAGCCTCAGAATTCCCATGCATTCTTTCAGGCATGAACAGATACCAAGTTATAGCACATAGAGAAATATGTCAACATTAATATCAATTTACCTTTATATCATTTAATCCGATCCATACAGCATTCACATTATGTTGTTTCATAGTCAGATATATAAAGGCCTGCTCATATCCCGAGTTTACAGATGACAAATAGGCTCCTGAAAAATACAATAATATCCATATTATTCCGATATAATAATATCCATATTATCCTGTTAAATACAAAAATATCCATATTATCCTGATAAATACAATAATATCCGTATTATCCTGATAAATACAATAATATCAATATTTTCTATTTTCCTGATAAATACAAAAATATCCATATTATCCTGATAAATACAATATTTTTCATATTCAGATGAATACAATAATATCCATATTATCATGACATTTACAAAAATATCTATATCCTGATAAATACAAAAATATCCATATTTTACTGATAAATACAAAAAATTTCCATATTATCCTGATAAATGTAATATATCCATATCATCCTGATAAATGTAATATCATCCATATTATCCAGATAAATACAAATCCATATTATCCTGATAAATACAATAATTTCCATATTATCTTGATAAATACAAGAATATCCATATTATCCAAATACAAAAATATCCATATTATCCTGATAAATACAATTATTTCCATATTATACAGTTTAATACAATAATATGCATATTATCCTAATAAATACAATGATATCCATATTATCCTGATAAATGCAATAATTTCCTTATTATCCAGATAAATACAATAATATGCATATAATCATCATTCTTAAAGCTGATTGTGACTATCATCATCATAACAATCATACTGTCAACTAAGTGCAGTAACAGGTTTACTGCTATTAAATTATAAATTTTGACTGCAATAAGGTGACAATATATCCATTATTAACAGTTAAGAATTTTACACTGTAGGCTGAATTCAAATCCTCATTTTGATATCCCTAAAATTGATGATGGACAGTTTCATATTGTAAGCAGGACCAGCCTTATCCAGCAGGTAAAGGTTGGGATAAATAACTATATCTTACCTCCTTGTTTAAGACAGGTATCACTGGCCTGGGACCAGTTGGAAGCCTGTTTTAGGAAGAAATAACAGCCTGTTTTAAACAGTGTCTGTCCTTGTTGTACATCACAAATGCTAGGAATTGGTTCCGCAGTCAGAATTGTAGGGTCTTTAAAAAAAATAATTTCTAGATAATTGGTAATATTGATATTCCTGAAATTTGACAACCATTTGAGCCGCGTCATGACAAAACCAACATAATGGGTTTGCGACAGCAGGGCAACCCAACCTGCCACCCGTGCGTCTATAGGCCCCATGCTTTTCGTTATCGTTCTCTATTTTTTAGGGTTTTACTAAGTAAAAGATGGATCCTATCAGATCGCGGATGTCAGGCGGGTTGGACTGCGGGTCGCAACCCAAATGGTTTTTTTGTATCCCGGGCTTTTTTCTTTTGGTTTAAATAGCAAATAAAACCTTGCTTTTCTTTTTGTTCACTAGTAGTTATCTTAAAGCTATTTTTAGTAATTACTTTAAGTCGGACATAATGTTTTAAAATAATCCAGAAGTAAGTCATTACTTAAAACAGACAAAAATATTTATGTGTTGGCAAAGACAAATATCAATTCTATTAAAACTATTTTTATTATGTAAAATTAAACTACAAGACTTAATTTCAGTTATAAAACTACCTTTTTCAACCATTCAAAAGCCTTACCATACATACATTGTTCATGCAGGTAGAAACTTTACATATCTTTTTAAAATCACAATTATCCCTTGTAATGTAAAAAAAATAACTTTATCATTTTTCATCTATCTTTAGACTAATTCAAAGTCAAGAATAGCATTGATTTGAGCCGCGTCATGACAAAACCAACATAATGGGTTTGCGACCAGCATGGATCCAGACAAGCCTGCGCATCCCCGCAGTCTGATCAGGATCCATGGTGTTCTCTATCAGTTTCTCTGCTTGTAATAGGGTTTGTAAGCGAACAGCATGGATCCTGATCAGACTGCACAGATGCGCAGGCTGGTCTGGATCCATGCTGGTGGCAAACCCATTATGTTGATTTTGTCATGAAGAGGCTCATTTATACATGTACAACAGATATGAGTTTATAACTACAATATAGTTACACAAAAATGTATCTAGAATTTATCATGCTGTTTGTTAGCATTACCTTTCTTTGTCATACAGACATATCCATGTTGAGTTGAACAATCAACATCATTCCATTGACCAACTGTACCAGAATAACCAGTAATCTGTAAATTAAAAATGATATCAGGTATAGATTTATTTTTATCAACATTATAATTTCGAAGGGTTTTAAGTAGCAGAAACTCTATAGGTCATATGGTGACGTTTCAGCTACACTGGTGTAGGAAAACACCACAGTTACCTTCATATGAATTATTTCAGCTACAATTAAGTAGGGTAGAGCCACCAATCTTCCATAGCTAGGTAGAACTTTACCCAGAAAGATGTAATGGTACTTGGCCAAATTCAAACCCACAACAATAAGGAGAAAGCTATTCAGATTCATAAACCTTAACCATTCAGGGTTGTGTCTCAATCAAAATATATCTTTAGACCAAAACTTAGACAATTTTCGTTTCAAAGAAAATGTCCTAACTTATGACTCTAAAATATGTAAAGATTTTTAAAATTCTGAATAAAGTGCATGCAGATAAACATTTTCACATTGCAGATTGACGCGTGTGCCATATTGTATTTTATAATTCTTCTTGGGAGAATGACTTAAGTAAAAGTGTAAAACTTTCAGCAAAGATCAAAATAATTATTGAATCAGTCTAGTTAAACATATTTAGTCCTAGGACTTGAGATACACTTAGAACTTTCTATGAAACACAGCCCAGGAACTGAGGCATGCTGTTCAAGGATTAATTTAGGATAATTAAATTCAAGCAAAAACATTCAATAACCACCTAAGTTCTATATATATTTTGTATCATGATAAAGACAAAACTGATGTATAACCTGTACACAAGCCTCCTTCTCTCTGCCATTAGGTTCATCATGTGCCCAGTTAGTGTATACAGTTTCATCATTGTTCACCCATAATAGCTGATTGTTCTCATCTTTGTGTAAACCAATCCATGGATTCACCTGCATATCTGCCATCAGTGTTGTTATAAATGCTATAAATATAATTAAATTAATCTGCAATTTCAGCCATACATGAAGTGAAACCTTAACATTCTACATTTATGTAATGGATTTGCCTTGTTTTATGTAAAGGATAAGCTCTGTTTTGTATAATGAAATTGTGTTTTGTGTTAGGGATTTGCTCTGTTTTGTGGAATGGATTAGCTCTGTTTTGTGTAATAGATTTGCTCTATTTTGTGTAAAGGATTTGCTCAACTTTGTGTTATGTATTTCCTCTGTTTTGTGTTTTGGAATTGCCCTGTTTTGTGTAATATATTTGCCCTGTTTTGTGTAATTGATTTGCCCTGTTTTGTGTAACTGATTTGCTCTGTTTTGTGAAATGGGTCTGCTCTGTTTTATGTAATTGGTTTGGCCTGTTTTGTTTAATTGATTTGCCCTGTTTTGTGTAATTGATTTGCCCTGTTTTGTATAATAGATTTCTTCTGTTTTGTGTAATGGATTTGCCCTGTTTTGTGTAATGAATTTGCCCTGTTTTGTATAATAGATTTGTCCTGTTTTATGTAATGGATTTGCTCTGTTTTGTATAATGGACTTGCTCTGTTTTGTGAAATAGATTTGCCCTGTTTTGTATAATGAATTTGCTCTGTTTTTTGTAATGGATTTGCCCTGATTTGTGTAATGGATTTGCCCTGATTTGTGTGATGGATTTACCCTGTTTTGTGTAACAGATTTGCTCTGCTTCATATTTGGACAATCCACTAAATGTTTAAGAAACTTCAGTAATAAAGATATAAAATTGTGCAGCAAACAGTATAATTATAAGCCTACCCAGACTGCATGACTTAGGCTAATCACATTATTTTCTAGCAGTTTAAAAAAGGTTATTTATACTGCCTTCACGAGTGTTAAAAATGATCAAATTACTTGATAAATGTGTATGTTTGTAGAACTTCACCTGAAACACACTTAGTTTGATCATCTGTTTATGAGAGACAATTAACAGAGCAAAATCTCCTAATGCCCCTGAGCATCAGTTTATCAGTTTCCAAAATATATGAATTCAGGATCCTTAAAGTCTCCTCTGTGCATTATTTAAGGCATGAACGATCATTTAAGTAAAACCAGCAATGTGTTGTTTACTAGCTATATAGCTTCCTCACCAGAAATAATTCAAATGCCCTGGTTGGATTTGAACACACAGCAGTGAGGGGCATATGGTTTCAAATCAGTAACTTTTTAATATTACTCGACCAGAGACACCCCTCTTAACTGAAGTATGGGGCAATTTTTATCAGCACTGATAGAGCTCTCAGTCTAAAGTAATGAAAAATACATAAATTAGTTCTGATAAATATCATAAAAAAATAAGCAAACCATTGGTGACATCATCTAGAATGCTGGCAAGACTGTAGCCAGAGCCAAGTCCTTTACAATTTGCCAAGGCTGTTGTCCAGTTTACAGGTTTTGGATATATCCTGTAACACCTAAGAATATAAAAAATAATAATCAATGTTGATCCTAATTGTTATAATATGTATCTATTACTCAATTACAAACATTAAATGTTTTTTGTTGTTTTGTCCAAGTTTGAACCATTGTCAAAAATAAATGACAAAATTAAGAAAATATAAGCAAAATTCAATCATAAGACAAGGTCATCTTTAAATTATTCAACATATCTGTTTGGTCACATTTGTAGTTTTGTCCATGCATGAATCAAATCTGTGTATAAATAAAAAAAATATGACAACTTAACCAAAATTAGATAATTTGACCTTGTCAGTCAAGGTCATTTAAAGCTCAAAGTCGAAGTCAGTTCAACCTTGAAGAAAGTCTTGTCCAAAAGCTTTTTGTCAAAGTATGAAGATAATCCATCAATTAATGAGCAAATTACAGCAACTTATGGCAATAATCAGTGAAAATGCAATAATTTGACCTTGAAGGTCAAGGTCATTTATGAATGAATGTCAATTTTAAACTGATTTACTTGAAGGTCTTGTCCCAAGGATTATTGTGGCAAAGTATGAAGACCATACATACAGAACTTAAAAAGTTATGATCAACGTTTAAGTTTTGGGAACATCATTTTGAAGTTGGAACAGTCCATTCAAAGTTTAAGGAATTTCAATAACAATATACCTACCAACAGTAAAAAGCCTGGTCAGACTGCACAGGGTGACCTAGATCTTCACTGGTGGAAAAGGCTAATCACTTTTGATTCCAGCAGTTAGAAGGTTGAGGTCTTTTTAAAATCCATAAGAGTTGTGGAGGTTATTTTTGCTTTATATTCACTCGAAATTGACAAAAACCTACTATAAACTGACATAATTATATATTCACTTAAAAATTAAAATGGACAAATATCCTATATATATTTACAATTAAGAATATTCACCTGTTAAATTGCATATGAAAGCCTGATGGACAATTTCCTGCCCACAATCCTGTAGGTACAACAGGGGTTATAATTGATCCAACACGCACCTTACAAACATACCCATACTGTCTGGCACAATGGTCATCATTCCACTCACCTGAAAGAGAAACATATTGCCTTAAGTAAAAGAAAACAGCATTGACTTTTGAATGTATTATCTAATCAGACTTTTGAATGTATTATCTAATCAGACTTTTGAATGTATTATCTAATCAGACTTTTGAATGTATTATCTAATCAGACTTTTGAATGTATTATCTAATCAAGGCACAAAATTCTAGCACAATACTAGAAAATTATTAATGAACAAATTTCAGCAATATTTAATTACTTATTATCTGCTTCTTCCCAAAAAATCTAGAAACACAAAAATCTGGAAACGAAGTGATCCCTCGGAAGCACAAAGCCATAATCACTCATATATGGAGAAACAACAGTTTCAAAAGTTGCAGTTATGGAATAAGCAAAGTTGTCTCATTTACCTGTGAGGAGGAGGATGTTGACACAATCTTCTTCCCCACCCCAATCATTAGGTTCATTATAACGCCAGTGGTAATATTTCCCTGGTGACCCATCGGACCACCTGTAAATAGTTGTCACAAACTGATCACAAAAATTTTAATAATACTGAGTCAGAATTGGAAATAATGTCTTCCATAATATCAGACCTGTATCACAGAATGTGTTGTACTATTCTTTAAAAGATATAGCAAAAACAATTTAGTAACACTAGATAAAACAAGAAGCTTTTATTAAATTTATAATGAATTTTAGTGATGAACAATAAAAAAGCAAATGAATCGGTCAAAAATGAATCGGTCAAAAATGCCAAGCCTACTCTCATTCACAATGGTGTTTTGATTGTTGTCATTGATCTTACTACCCATTTATTCAAACATGTCAAATAGGCAAATAAAATCCATCTCTTAAAGTATAATTTAGATCAAATTTAGTGATTAAGCATTTTATTGTTTTATGAAAAGATGTTTAAAGATTTAATTTCTTTTAGATCTGGTGATCCCTGAAAGAATATGAGAACAAATTATAAGGATGCCTGAATGCTAATTTGCAGACAATCTAACCTGTAGATTCAGAGGAAAATAATATTGTTGATTACAGATTATGGACACCAGAGACTCAATCTATACTGATAGCTGACCTTGAACCTTTTGGTTCTGACAGATGTGCAACACAACTTTTACCAAACATAGAGTAAAAAACAATGTACATGTTTTTCTTAAGTCAGTGGTTTGACTAACCTGAATCCTATCCATAAGGCTCCTTACTTTTCTAATAAAAATTTCTGAGAAAATATCACTTACTTAAACACTTACCTTTCTAATGAAATTTACCTAGAAAATTATATAATCACTTCTTAAACAGTGTACTCCGTATGTGAAAGTCCCGAACAGGAAGTATTAAGCAAGCTATTAAATGAGTACATTAAGTAAATCACCTATTCTCACAAGATAGGCCCAAGTTTGAAATTTGAATGTCTCTTAACGAAAGTGAAAACATATACACTTATACAGTTGAGTTTTGTTATTTTTTCAACTTTACATGGTTCCTACCTTTAACTCATATACACAATAGATGTAAGAAACTGGTATTTAGAAAAAGAAACAAACAAATAATATCAATTTAAAAGAAAAATACGCTGTCTCCGTAAAGGGTTACATGATTCAACACATAAGTGCTGCATCATTTTGTCAAAACTGAACATATTTTTTTTATTTTTTGTTTGGTGATATATTGAAGTTTGACATTTAAAATAAATTCTGAGTAAAGCTCTTTGCATTTTTCGGTTTAAAACAAAACTTTCTTGTCTCCAAACCCAATGTAATCTACGTTACTTAGTTTGCGAACAAAAATGCACAGGCAATAAACACATTAAAAGGGGTTTAAACAGACGTATATACTAACAAAACATAGTATAAACGGAATGCAATACAATGATTAACTTATTTCATAAAAAAAAAATTACACCAGAAACACAAACTTAATATTTGTAAAGTAAAGTTAAGACTGTAATCTACGTTACTGCTATTACTCAAATATTGTAGCATAGGGTGCTCTTAACAGACTATTATCAATTAGAATAGACTTGCTAAACATTCAATACTTTATATTTTGTAAAAGTTAATAGTATGTAAAAAAATTCATGCTCGTGACAATACAGATGTAATCTACGAGATGTAATCAACGTTACCACGGTTTTTCAATTTCAGCAAATAATTTGATTTTCATGTCCCAGATAATGTTAAACTGTTTCAAGGTTCCGTAATATAAACTTCTAGATCAATATACACATAGTTTGTTTCCCTTTATTTCAAATTTGCCACTTATTCCGCCATTTGCATTTGCAATTTCCGCGCAGAAACACTATATTACTGAGTTCCAGTTATCTTCAGCAAAACAAAACAGGCGAAGTAATAAAAATGTTGTTTTTTTATTGTAATTTTAAGATTATATTAAATAATACACCTTAAATTCTAAAAAAAATTGATCTGATACATTTATAAAATTCAAACATATATTGCAAATTTTAGTTACATAGCCCACTAAGTTTGTAACAAATCCTTTCCTTTCTTGGTCTCCATTTTTACTTACCAAAATATTTTGTTCATAAATTTTCATCATAACAGATCTACACAGATGCTTGTATGTTATCTGTGTTATACCAGATCATCTAATATTTTAAAAGGTGTGACAAATGTGATACCAATGTTGGTAACGTAGATTTACGAAAATATCAACTTGTGATATCTGCAACACCAATAAGTAGTTCTTCTCCAAATATTTGACATGTTCCTATACTGTGGATAATAATATAGTAGTTAAATGTAATAAAACTGCTTGTTCCTGGAGGAAAAACTGATATTTAGGCATAAATAAATAGTTTCTAAAAATGGTAACGTTGATTACAAAATAAGTAACGTAGATTACTTTTTTTGTTTCAGCAAGTATGGGTATAGCCTAGGCTGAAATACAGCGAGCCTCTTGTGGGAGGAAAAAAGTTATCTTAAGGAGTAAAATACCTTGAAAGAGAGCAAAAAAGAACAAAATCATACTCACGTTTGACAGTGAAAATATAAAAAGGGGCTTTAGCGACCAGAGATAAGTATCCAGAAATTGACACAGAATGAAAGAGCTTGAACATCAAATACAAGTTAATAAATTAATTGGCCTGGTTGTGTTCAAGATGAAGACAAAATAATTGTCGATGATAAATATGGTGTAAGTTCAAGCACCATCAAACAGGAAAATAGTAGTTATAAGCATATTGGTTCCTTAAAATTGAACTGATTGAGGAGTTGACGATTTTCTTGTTTCATACTAGCAAAAACTTAAATGTAAAGGAGTCAAAGCACTAACTTTCAAATGGTCAAACAATGACAACAAGATTGTGTCAAGATGTTTTATATGCATAGATGAGTCATCCAAAGTTAGTTTGTGGGCGCTCTTTCAGCATAAAAGAGGACGAGATTAGATCATTTAAAGCGGCCTCCAGCTTTCATATCTGTTCAAAAAATATTTTGGTTTCTAATTAAGTATTTCATTTATTTTTATCTTACAAAAGTGCAACATATCACTTGTAAAAACTACTTTAAAAAAACAGTGTCTAAAGATATATTGAATTTTAAAGAACACGGTGATGTTCGTTTCTAAAAAATAAGAAAATCAGAAAACGAATCGCCCGCTTTACTTATTTACAAATAGATAGCAGACAGGTAAATTAGATGTATCGAGGAGTTTCATTATTGTGTTTCTGTATTTAAATGATGGCAAGTATGATTTTCCACCATTTTCTTTTTTATTTGACTTTTATATTGAAACATATAAAATCTTCATAAAAACTGAAGGCCACGTTACTTTAAAGAAATGATTCAATGTTTCTAACAAAGCCGGTTTTTGTTGTTTATTTTTGTTGTTGTTGTTGTTGGGGTTTTTTTTTTGTTTTTTTTTAAAGGGAAAGACAAGGTTAAAATAAAAACTTGATTTCAGAAAAAGAATACTATAAATAATAAGTCTGCAAATTTTCTGCCGCCAAATAATAATATTAAACGAATGATAACAAAATTTAAATCGCTAAATCACCGATTTCTAAAATCGGTAAGCGCGGCCATGTTTGTTTGGCCGTATAAAAACAGGTGCGCGTGATGTCATTTCCCCACATCTTTTAGATTCACGATAAATCTAGTTGAATCGTAAGGAAATATTAATATAATAAAGTATGATCAGACAATTTAATTTTCACAAAGGAGTGTAGAGGAGATTTTTTATGGTTCAAAATACGTAACAATATCAAAAAAAAATAATAATAAAAAAAAAGAAACGTACGGCTAGCCAAAAGTTCTAGCCGTACGTGAGTCACGAACGACTAGCCAGGACGCCTGTATTGTCTAGCCGTACGGCAATTTTCAAAATTATATGTAAGATCGAACGTTATAAAATTGTATGAATTTCCATGCTTTTCATTGTTGTTTAATTTGTATAGAATTATTAAATCATTTTTGTTAATTCTAAGCACATGGATCGAAAATAAAATGATCGGAGTGGAATAAATAAATAAAAAGAACATTGGAATGGGAAAAAAACGGTGAAATGCAAAAATAATTATATAATTTTCAAAACAGTAGATAAATATCGAACATAAAAGCACAGTCAATCAATTAATTAGCCTTAATGAAAACCTATCCAGGGACTGACAATAGAATTTTAGAATGCCTTTCACGGAACATGCAAACTTTCCTTGATACAGTACCGTCGGTAAATTGTCGCAATTATCAAGAGCCTAACAACAATCATTTCAGTGTTTGTTGTTGTTGTTTTTTTTTTTCATATAAAAGGTGTCGAAAATTAAACTAATGAAACAAAAAAAGATTATTATCAAAAAATTGTAAACTATTTCAATTTGGTGTAAATGCAAGCAAAGGCTATTTTTTTCTCGACATCTTGCGATGACAAAGATCGATATATATATGCGATCAAGGCGATTAATCTCTAAAAAAATTAACATCCAAAAGACAATTAATGCTGTTTCTTGGTTAAAATCCTCGCTTAAAAGTCATAAAATAACATATGCATTTTCGACTTCCATAAAATTTTGAAAAGTGCCGTACGGCTAGCCAATACAGCGTGTCCTTGCTAGTCGTACGTGACTCACGTACGGCTAAAACTTTTGGCTAGCCGTACGGGCCCGTACGCTAGCCACTTCCATTATAAAAACCCTACTAAACGTTTCTTAATAGTACATATAAATTAATTTTTTGCAGTTTGATTCTGACTTTCAAATTTAAAGGTTGAACATATGTTATAATTGATGTACACATTTCAAAAATATTTGCATAATTGCAGGCAAATCATTTTTATTGGGCTGCTCAAAAATCTAATTGCATAATTTATTTCACACAATTGCTGGTTCTTACTACTTATGACTAAATACTGGAAATGTCCATTTTAATTGTTCCTAATTTGCACCAAATGCTCCTGTCACACTGTGTACTGACGATTTATATTGCTCCTTGTATGCCTCTGTGCCGACAGACCTTTTGGATCATGCACAATGTTGCCCTAATTGGTTAATCACCCTCTGTCAAATATTCTAATGACGAAATAGACATCTATTTTTTTTACGCTTCATCAGTGAACTGAATGACCTTAGGGGAATTCGGTTCCACACCTGTCAAATTGTACTGTAGTAAATTACAGCACGTCATAAAAATAGCAACACATTTTTTTCAGTTGCCCAATAATCATTTTAAATATTAAGTAGATTTATGATTTTTTTTTTTATTGGATTAAATTTACGGAGAAGAAATGCGTATCTGTCGGGGAAAGAATTTGTAAGTAGATAACGTGGAAAAAAAGCTTTGGGGAACTGGATAAACCCGAGAATATTGCGTAATTATAGGGAATGGGCACCTGTTGCTGTTGGTACCAGTTTTGACTGGGTGCCTAAATAACTTTACGGACAGTTTTGTTTTCATACGATATAAGTCTGGCTTTCCTGCGCCTTTCTCATTTTTAGCGTCAATGGCGGAAAATCGCGTCCTCAGCATATTGGATTTTAGTTTGATATTTTACTTGAAAAAAGATATATGACCGGCGATGTACCCTATTTGGACAGCTTGTCTAGCGAAAATTAAGTACAAAATAAAAGTATATATCGTCAATTTGAAGAAGTTTCTCATAGTACCCAAAGTAAATTGATGGTTTATCTTTGAAAATTAAGCAGTCATTGCTTTAAATCATGTGGTGGGATCATCAGCAAGTTTGAGTATCGGGCAAATGATAATTAATGTCGCGGCGTCTTCAATTAATTAATTAAAGCAATTCAGTTCCATATGATGTTTTCATAAATAATATATAATGTACGCAATTAAATTAATAAGTTCTTCATCAAGATATATTTCAGTTGTACCAGCGTGTACAACTATACCCGGAAGTGGTATTACACGTCACAATCTCGGTCTCGTCTGTCTCGCGAGAATGACAGAACGCCAAAATGGCGGCGCCCATGAACTTATCTCAAGTAAAAAAATAGTGTCTTGAAACACGAATTCTCTCTTATAGGGTTGATGTCAATAGGGAACTGTCATGGTTCCTTCCTCTTTTTAAATGATGAATATTTATATTAGACAGACATCAATCCATCCATTCTTATTCCTTTAAATTAACATCATGTTTAAGAGTAAAAAATATTTTCTTATGCATTTGATCAGACTTTTCCATTTCAATTTAAGAATTTATTGATTTTCTTTTGCAATAACAACATTTTATTGTTGAACATGTTGAAACATATATTAACATCCTTGAATATGAGGTAATCTACGTTACCATAACTGGTCAATTATTTTATTTTGTTCATTTGTTATTTTTGTATTAAAGTACATTTAAAACCCAGTCATAGTCTTTGTTATATATTATATATATATGATAAAAAGATATAACCTTAATGGCATCCACGAGGTACTTTGCGTCCTTAAGTTATTAGTTTTTTTAAAGAAATTGATAATTGAATATGTTTGAGCATAAACCTTCATTATAATATCTCAGTCGACTAACTTGTTACTGATAATTACATCTAAGATGCATTAAAAGCCAAAAATGAAACATAGATGCTTCATTTTATTCTAATTTTAAAGTTTATGCTGTTGCCCAGTTAAAGCTGCATACATTGTAATTTACGTTACCATTTCCATAGTTTTGTTTGTATTGGCGTATGCTGCATATAAAATATATTTTAAAGTGAAATACTGTTGTATCTTAATATTTTGCGCTTATATTTCATATTAAAATCAACAAAATAAGTACAACTATGAGTTTGTTTATTGTAGCTTTTTTTACTGATGAACATATTTTCCAGAAAATACTCAACCCAAAATAAATGAGAAGTTAAAGCTTGGATGTACGGTTATACTAAAAGACCTGTGTATAAAATATGTAATGTTACTTTAGACAAATTATTTATCGAAGTGAATATTTGTATCAAATGCATTGATAGTATTATCAAATAATTTTAATATGACCAGTCGATTTTTTTAGTTAAGTAACGTAAATTACATTTTGAAAAAAGTACTCAATTTGTTTCAGTGACTGTTCTACAGATAATAATCAAGTTTGAGTGATGAAACTTTCCCAGTATGTCGGACACATATTTGTATAAACGTCTATGTCATAAAACTTTGGTAAAAAACAAGTTCATTTTTTAACATTTGGTCAATGCAAGTTGGGCCTATCTTGTGAGAATAGGTGAAATACTAGTAGGTTTCAATATCATCAAAAACTTACTTGTATCCATTGTTCAGATCTAGTGCATTCAGTCCTATCCACACTCTATAGGCAGATAAATTTTTCAACTAAAAAAAAAAAAAAATAAATAAAAATGAATGAACACAAGAGTTGTTGGTAGGACAGCATGCCTGACTTTATACAGTGCTTCATAGTAAAACAAGAGCCGGAATAATGTAAAAAAAAATTAAGTTTAAAAAGGGTCATATTTCTGTCAATACCAATGTAAGAGTTATGGACTTTGGATAGTGACCTCCTATACTTTGTCCTCAAATAAGTGTGTGAAATTCCAATCCATTCCTTTCAATAGTTTTGGAGATACTGACTTGCACACAAAAACTTAACCAAAGTGTGACACGGACACTGATGCCTAGGTGAGTACAATAACTCTCCTTATTCTTTTAACAGTCAAGCTAAAAATTAAGTTTGAATAATGAAACAATATAACTTCATTTTATATCTCACACTTGTCTATATTATAAACTTACACTTAAACAAAAATCATTTATCAAGAGCATTGATGATTTTATTAATACAACTTTAGATTAAAGGAACATTAAACATATTTTATTAATACAACTTTAGATTAAAGGAGCCGTTAACAAAGTTGGTAATATGTGTCATCTGTTGCTATAATAAATAAAAGAAAAGACATACCCACATACATTGTTAAAGCATATAGTACACCAATTAACAGCAGAATTCAAACAGCTGATTTCTAATATGACATTAGGCAAAGCCTATGAATTGGGGAAGTCATTCATTTTTTACTTTACATTTTCCATTTTATAGGTGGCATTCAGTATTTCATGCACCTCTTTGGTTTTCAGTTGGAACACCTCGACAATTATTTTTAGGCCAAAAAGTTGTGATTGTTCCATTATCGAAATACTCAGCCTATTATCATTAAGTCACTAGAAAATGGCAGCATCCAACTAGGCATGTCACTGAAAATTTTACTGATAGGTACAGAAATCTATATACTTTTTAATTGTTTTTTTATTTCATTATAAATACACACATGTAGTCTATAGCCGGGTAAGCCAAAGCCCAGGCCTTCTTCCCGGAACCCGGGCTTTGACTTCCCGGTATAGAAACCTATGATACAATAATCAAGCATAAAGTTATACTTAATTACCATAGCATGATACACAAATGCTTGCTCGGTCTGTGAGAGGATTGAGGCCAGGTCTCCGCCATATTGTTGGCATTGATGTTGAGCTTGTCTCCAGGACTTTCCATTGTCCCCGTTACCATCATTAGCCAGGTAGCAGTAGCCATTATAGGCCACCCATCCGCTACCACTTAAACTACTACATAGGGAACCTACAGAACAGTAAACAAAATTTAATATTCTAGACAAATAGAGCTGGTGCATTATCATGAGGTATCATTGTCTGAACACAAATCAAGCTGTTGCAATTTTGATCTGTATTTAAAGTAGTAAATATATTTTACGTTAAATGGTGAATAATTTTGAGTTTATTTCATATAGATTTGGTATACATGTCAACTCCATTACAGTATCAAATTTAATGCCATTAAATGTAAGATAATTTCAAGTTTTTAAGAATTCTTCACAGAAAATTATAATGGTCTTAAAGAGACTCCAGTGCGGTTTTTTGACATGACAGGACTGGAAATACATTTCCAGATTTGTGCACTATTTGATGTAGGTCTGGAACAATAACTCAGGTATGCAAATTTTCAGGTCATTCCCTCACCCCATTTTTCCCGAAATTGTCATATTTATTGTGCAAAATGACCCAAAAATGAAAATTTCAAATCAGGCTAGGACTCCCACACAAAAAATCAATATTCAATTTAGTTCCGAGAATATTTTTTTCATTATCCTTTGCAGATATTTCTATTTTAAGTGCTTTACTCAATACTCTAGATAAGAATTTCAAATTTTATGTTTTAGTTTTTTTGACCCCAGTGACGCTCCTTTGAAGGTATCCTCTAAAATTATATTTTTAAAGATTAATACGGAAATGACTACATATTTTGTACTTGTAATAGAGTCAACTTACTTGATTGGGTAGGTGGGGCTGTCTGGGGTTTTGATGTTGTTAAATGTCCACCTAGAAAATAATAAAATATGAATTTCAGTGATCACTGTAGTTTAAAGTGTCTAAAAAAATATTAGATAGTATTTTTTTAATATGTTTCATATTGTACATAATATGAAAAATAAGCATATTACATTATAAACATGTAACAATGATTTGTACTATGATTTCTAATAGAATAAATCAGGGTACTCAGCCAGTATGATTTCTAATAGAATAAATCACTGTACTCAGCCAGTAAAAATAACAATGTTGAAATGTAGAATGTATAGTTCAGTTTCAGTAAAATTTTATTGTATAAATGTGTCCGATATATGAACACAAATTAACACCATTATATCTGAATAAGCAATGATGATTATTAGGGGTGTCATGTTCATCCGTTTAAATGGGTACGGTATGGTGGGTTTTTAGCTAAATACCAGTTAGAAAATTTAAAAACCGATAACCCAGGTTAGTAACTTGACAAACAGGCAAATAAGTTTTAAACTGATTTTAATTATTACCTTAGTTTTTACAACTAGATATGACAATTTGTTTATATTTTAGTTGTACTCAATGTATTTTCCCCAATCTGATTGAGTACATCAATGTACAGTACGACCATATCAGATAATAGTTACTTCATTCTTAGATATGTATCGTAATTATTTTGAGTACAATAAAAATAGGACAAAAAGAACAAATCATATCTTGTCATAAAGAAAATGTTGAAAATCTAAGGCTTTTATATTAGTATGGTCAGTTAAACTTTTACCATGGTTATTAGGTCGCCATCTAAGCTTTTTTTCCAAAAGTGACACCCCTAATAATTACTGTACATACAAAATGGTTGGTGAAAATTATCTTGGGGCCCTTCCAACAAATAATTTATATCATCTATGAAGTAATAAACTTAATTAAAGGCTTTCTTTCATGTAAACAAGTGTAAATTACCTTGTCCTCTTTTTACCATGCAGATCCAGTTATTTTTTGAAGAACATGCGGCATCATTCCACTTGGAGGTAGAGCTCCACATTTCAACACAGTCTTCCATTCCCTTGTAGTTGTCTGGCTGCTTATCAGCCCAGTTTAACACATTAACAGAAGTTTTATCTGTCCACACATACCCTTAAACAACAATATTTATAATACATGTATTATAATATTCATCCTGCAGAATTTCTTAAATGATCTTGCCTAGTTTCATAGTAATGCAAAGTTTTTATTTTTTGGCATATCGAGATGAAAAATTCAAAATTTGTTCGGTTCGACTACAATGCAGACAAAGCCTATTCACTAGTTAGAGCACATTGAGAATTAAGTCTACAAAAAGACTCCATTTACAAGATCAATCGTCTCTCACCAACTGATTTAGAATTTAATATGGATAAATAGTCAGTCATTTACGGGGCAATCGGTAATGGCACAGATGTGCTAAGGGATAATCTTATTCTTTGACCTTTTTTTTAGGTTGGGTTTTACGTTGCACCAACACAGTATGTGTCATATGGCTACATTACAACTTTACTGCAGGTGCCCTTTTGTGCATTATTTCAGGCATGAACATGCACCCGAGTAGAACCACCGACTTTCCGTAAACTAGCTGGATTATTAAGCTTCCTTACATAGAAGAATCCGAAGTCACTGTAGCCGCCCAGGATTCGAATATACAGTAGTGAGGGATTCCTTAATTTAGTCCTCATTTTCCTCAGTAACATCAAACTTAAAAGTGCAAGTGTGTAATATGTTTTAAAACGCTTAAAATTGTACCATTCTTAAAACTAACTTTTTATCATAGATTTTCTGTAAACATACCATTTTCTGTAGCTTGATCATTTAGCCCTATCCAGTATGAGGATGATGTCCCACTACAAATAAAATATGAAATGTATACATGGTATAACAATTGAAACAATGTCTCTCATTTTTGTGCAATCCCTGGTGTTGATGTGCATGTCATGGCTTACATTGTATTTATTCTCATGTATGTTATATATTTGTACCATACATGTTGTTTTTAATGTCCATGTTTATGTGTTCCATTCAAAAATAAATCTATCTATGAAATAAATCTATCTAACTAACAAACTTTAACTCTTTTTCCCTATTATGTGAACACCATTGCTATTGTGGCATATACTTATGAAGATTGTGATTGTATCAAGACACTCAAATTATCCATCCTGTTACAGTAACATGTTGTCATAATACATTTTGCAATTTCATATATTCAGGTGACACATCCCATTTATGCATCATTACAGACCAAATTTTTCAATGTGTACGATAAAAACATACACTAATGCATTCCTCCACACTGTATCAATATCCGCAGCACTGTGAAATGAGGCAAGGTTACCTCCCTTACTTTTACAATCAGCAATCGCCTCACCAATATTTCGGCGTCGATGAACTTCAACTGTGTTTACCTACAATAATAAGATCTTAATATGTAACTTTTTTAAAATTCTCAAAAAAACATATTCATTGTTTTGTGTTTTAAAAGTGCGTGCTATAGTTAAGTATTAGGACTGTGTAATTTTTACAGTGCTGTGTTTCTTGTTAAGCCGCTGTCATTTTATGTCACCTCAGTTAAATACTGTACAAATGAAATTAACTACTATTATAATTGTTGAATAACTGTTGTGTTAAACACAGTTGGCATTCTGCAATAAAAATAAAAGATGCAAGTCTATTAGAAATATTGTGTGAAGTATAAGTTATCTGAACTTCAAAGGACCTAAATAATGAAAAAATATCAAATTTAAGGGAAGAAAACTTGAAAACAAGTTCAGCTTGAAAATGAGTTAAAATTTTTTACTTAAATTGTTTCAGTTATGATATTCTAACATCATGTTCAAATTTAACACTTAATTAAATAGTTACTACTGTTTTTTTTTGTTGTTAATTTCAATTCTAAGAGACATCAAAATATTAAAGGTCATATGACAACGTTCAAGCTTTATTTGTGGAACATTACCCAATCAGGTTAAACTCAAACAGGTTTTATATACAGACTCAATCTAACCGAGTCTGCAATTTTCATGTCATTTTGCTGATTTCAATGCTTCGTCCCGGGACCACTTTTTTCCAGATATTTACATAAAGTAGATTTTAAATACCTGATAGCAATAGTTTGGTGTCTGTATAAGACCAGGGTCACAGGGAGGTAGACTGGTTGATACCGGGGGTAAAGGTGGTGCCGTGTGACCAACCCTTGTTGCCTTACACACTAACCCAGCCTTATTTGTACACAACTGGTTCGTCCACAGTCCTGTCTGGTTACCACTTCCTATAGAAACACACATTGACGTTCCATCTAGATATAAATAAAGAAAATAATAAATTATGATTAGACTTATCATAATTAACCTTTAGACATGTATTATAGATACAACTTTTTTCATAACATTTGCTAAGTTATTTTATAGCAGTAAAACTGATAACTGTTGTAAATTTCATGAAATATTTGTTTAACAATTCTAAAAATCAGTGTTGTCTTTCAGAAAACTTAGTTTAAAAGGATGTATTGTACTTTATTGCATTTCATTGATGTAAACTTATCTCAAGTATATAAACAACCTAACCTGGTTTATTTTGGGCCCAATTAGTGAAGTCTAGGTAGTGTCTCCCAACTGTATGCTGATAGGTTCCTGGTTGAGCTAGATCATTTACATCTATCCAGTACTGTCCTGATCTACTCCCCAACACACCTGCCAGGTACGCTTGTTCATACCTACCACCAACAAACAAACAAAATCAACTGTTACAAGTGATGAATTTTAGTTATTGATAGACTAAAATATGGTGAAAAAATGCAGTAACTTTCACTTAGAAAATATCATTCTACAAGCCAAACATGAATTTAATTTCACAAGACTAGTTTATAAGAATGTTTCTTCAAATGCAATTAAAGACATAAAAGTTAGCAACGTTTTGAATTAATAATGCTTATGAAATTGTAATCTGTTAACTTACTTATCACTTATTCTAACCAATGAAGCTCCCAGAGTTTCACACACAGCTTTGCTATCTTGCCAGGTCCTTTTAGCATCAGCGTACAGGTAACATGACCACCTGTACCCATCCCAGCCCTTCTGACACCCATCTGGTAGTACAGTCGAGGCCGGCTGACTGGATCTACGTTTGTCCATCTGACACACGAACATGTGACTGACATCACAAGATTCATCCTGCCAACCTCCAGACTGTATCACAAATAATAGCTTATAAAATAACTACCTTTATATTATAGGGAAATCAATTGTGGAAACAAATGGCCTAGTATAGGTGTCTGCTTCTGTAACCAAGTCTCCTGCGGTTTTGAAGGTTGGTTTACACAGAATTTATTTTAGTTCAACTGTATGGAAGCTCATAGCTTAAAGACAAACTCTGGAACCTGTTCCTGTTTGAGGAACCAACCAATACTGAGTAATGAGTGTAAAGATTTTGCTCAAGGAAACAATGGCACGCCCCTGACTTGGTTTGAACCCACACAGATAGTGATCCTTTTATTACTAGTCAGATGCATTAACTATTCTGCCATGCCCCAACTTTAGAGGTTTTGGAGGTTCTTGTCTCCATTCTCTAGGCCATCTTGGGTTGGAACCATGCTTCCTTGTATGGTACCAGAACTGGTTATTTGCAGGAAACAATTTAAAAACAAAAACACTGTTTTCTAAAACTCTTTTGACAAAAAAACTATTATAAAGATATTGACGAAGTGTAACAGTATATCTTAATTAAAGTATTTAATAAAGTATCTTTCACAATGTATGGCTTTACTCTGTTAAATATATTTATATAGTGTACTCACTGTATTCTGCATAACAACACAGTCCTGGTTGTCATTTAATGTATGACTAGGCTGGTTTAATCCCCAGTTTGTATACATCACCTGGCGACCATCTGCCCACCTATAGAGAGACTCGCGTTGTATATCATTAAATCCTATCCATGTATTCTGTTTGTCTGAAAAAAAAGCCAACACATCTAGCTATTTTAGAAAATTAGAGAAATATCTGAAATTTAGAAAATCTTGTGTGTGTATATATTGCAATACTGTTATTGAGGATGAATACCATTGTATTATTATCAATATCTTAACATAGAAAAATTCTAGAATTTGATTTCAACTAAAAATTAAAATTTAATATGAAAAATCTCTATATATATATATATGTATAATATTTCAATAATATTATCATAGACAGCACACAGCAATGCTTACGTTTATTTCCTCTAATCAACTCTAATCAACATAGCTGCTGTGTGCTGTAACATACAAGAATGGACCTTTAGGACATATTGAAAGTGTGGAGGGAATAAAAAAAAGTCATAATTAGTTTAAAGGTAATTTATATCAGTGAGTCACTTACTTGCATATTCCAGCAAACTAAATACAAAATCTTGCTCTGCCTGGCTGTTTGGTGAGGCTAGATCACCACCCTGACCTTTACAGCTTGCTCGGGCATCATACCAGGACTGTTTAGTCTGGAGGAGCACATAGCATCTATTACCATAAGACTTCCAGTCTGTGGGGCAGATCTTGAATTCTGGAGCTGTAAGTGAAAAAATAAATTACATTTCCTCTCGTAATATTAAAGATTTTATTGACTTTTGTCAATTTTGCTGAAAGTTGAATACTTTGTATAAAGTTCAAAATTTGTAAAAATAGTTATTGTAAAAAATGTTTATAAACCAGTCAGAGAGAATTAAATTGATATCAATTGATTCACTATCAATTATTTTGCCAAAACATGTATGAACCTATACCTAATGAAAAATGAACATGTAAATATGTTAAAAAAAGGTCTTAATAGCAGGGTGGTTTTATTTTCTGGGGTAGTCTAAAGTAGGGATTCTACTGTACATGAAACAGACTTACACATCCCAGTTGTATAGATGATATTTGACGAGGGTCCACCACACTGGAAGTTTGTCTTGGGAAAACATGCCTGGTTGCAGTCTGTGGCTGGACCATACTTTCCATAAGAGTTTCCACAAAAACATTTAAATTGATTCTAAAATAAACATGAATAATTAGTTAAAATTTAAATTTTCATAAAGTTTTACAAGCCTAGAAAGTTGAAAATTCAAAATCCTGACATACAAATATATACAGCCATGTAATTTCAATGAATATGAATAAATTTGTAATATCAATAGTCAATCTAGATTAAATAAAGTGCTCTTATCAAAAAAGAAACAATGAAAGATAGAAACCTTAATAAAGGCAGCAAAAAATGAAGCTCATGCGGATTGTTTGATATACACTGTAATTACACCAAAAAGGTTGCTATAGTTACCTGTAAACCAGCATAATAGTAACCCTTTCTAAAACAATGGTCAACACACATGGGGGGCCACATGCCCACTCTGGGGTCAGTGTAGGGCTCATACTTGAGGTCTCGATCATGAGCATCATCAGCAAAACACCCAATCCTTACACCAGAGGCTGCCCCTACAAACAAACATACCAACTTTTATTTAGTTTCAAGTTATTAAGTTATATTAATTTCCCAAGTTATTTTATTTGTTTTTTATTGGTTTTACGGTGTACCAACACAGTTTAGGTCATATGGCACCAAACAGGAAAGATCATTTTGTCCATTTTGTCTAACATTGCGTGTAACATACTGATAGAAATAACAAGGTCAAAACCTGCTTGAGCAAAGAGATGCATAGACTCTAGTAATTCAAACACATTTAATTGCCTCTAATGATCATGCAGAGTACGACAGTGGCTGCATTTCTGATGCCTCAATCCTTAAAGGCAACCCCTCTGCCATAAGAGGCAATTTTCCAAGTTATGTGCAAATATTGCAATCATAAAGTACTTACAGATTTTCTTTCAGTAAACTGAAAGGGTGAAGCGTAACATAGTAATCAATTTAGATGATGATTCATTTGAAAGTATTCTTTCATTCTCTCCATGTATTTCCTTAGTTTTCCTTTGAGCATGTAATCCAGTGTTTGGACTATTTTCTTATTTCTTTAAAGTTGTTTTTGAAGAAATTATAACCTTAACTTTCAAGTAATTTAAACAAGGGTAAATATTTGTCTCTTGGGTTGTTAATGTTCATCATTTCTTTTATGAATTTCCTATTGGGGGCGTCCATAGACAAATGGTAATGGTTACTGACTTCAAACAACTTTCCCCTTACCCCTGTGGATTTGAATCCATACAGGAACTTTGGATTCTTTCATATGAGGAAGCTATCCAGCTAGCTTACGGAAAATCATTGGTAATCAGGTGCCTAAAATAATGCACAGACAGGCATCTGAGGTCTTCCTAAACCAGTAAAGCAAGAAAGTAACCATATGACCTCTACTGTGAACGAAAAAAACAAACCCAGAAAAAATGTATGTCCAATAATACAAGAGAATGTTTCATAAAATAATTGTTTTATTTGATAAACAGGTAATATTAAATCCTGTAATTGAAAAATAAATTGCAAACATACCTGGACATCCATAGAGTTCAAATCGTAAAGCAATTCTGTTGTTCCAAGACTGTGGGTATATGAGAATATATCTGGCTATAAAAGGTACCAACAAGTAGTGTTTCCTGGCTATTCTGTTTTCCCAATTTCCATCAAAAACCTACAAAATAAATTTTTTGTACAGTAAAAAGCGACACAAAAAGGGAAGAAAATCTTGTAAGAAGTATAAATGTAATTCTTTTATTATTCTTCATTTCAAATAGCCATTTCCATAGTAACAGACAAATTCATAAGCTACACACATATTAATAAATTCAGAATAGAAACTACACTTATTCAATATCCTCTATTTTCTTTTGGCTGCAGCACATTTCACAGCATAATATTAGAAGCTTGTAATAACTTTATCATATAATTATATTTAATTTCAAGGTGTGTTTGCTTTTTTTCATTATTTGAAAATAGGTTAATCAATTTCGCCTTTTGTTAATTGATGGGAAATTTAGAAAGTAACAATGTAACACCTACCCTACCATTATTTAATTTTTTGAAATCCTACCTTAGCTTGAGATCCTAGTTCATAGTAATACACCCATTTTTGGTTATCACTGGAATAACTGATTTTATAACTTTTCACCCAGTCAGCTGAGTCAAATGCCCCCTGTGTGCTTACTGCTGTGATCTGTATTGCAAACCCTAAATCTGCCTGAAAAATGTTTTACAAGTTACTTTATTATAAAATTACAGTCAAACCTGTGAACAAAGGTCATACACTGGAGAGCCCTAACACAAGAGGGCTTTATTTGGAGGTTATTTTTGTTCTATTTAATCAAAGAAGAATTGTTAGTGGCAGCATGGCTGAGTGGTTAACGCTTCAGACTATATATCTAATGATCGCTAGCCGCATGGGTTCAAACCTCGTCAGGGGCCAGTCGTTGTTTCCTTGAGCAAGAAACTTTACACTTGTTGCTCAGTACTGGGTGGACGTTCCATGAACAGATTCGAAAGTGTGTCTATAAGCTTATAGCTTCCTACACAATTGAACTAAAAATAAATTCTGTAAAGGGTAATCTTTATTCGGAGGTGGACTGACAGGTACCTTTCAATGAACCACAAATCTGTCTACAATAATATGTTGTCCTAATCTAAAGGCTTATACTATTTTTTTGCTGAATTGAGAAATGAAAAGAATAAATGTTTGTTAACTTCATGGAAAATCTGCACAAAATATAGTTATTTCTTAAATGTTAAATGTTATGCTGAAAAATAACAAAAATCATGGCTAAAAAATTCCAGGAAAGGGCAGTTTCATGGACAGCAGTGAAAAATAATACACAGATGAAAACTGCAGATTTGATTTGATTCTGTTTGGGAAAGATAAAAAGTTTTGTATGCAAATTAGATGTAAGATAATTTAGCAGTAAAGTTTTATACTGTATACATTATTGCAATATTTAGTAAGAATCAGTGTATACTTTCAAATACTGCTGTTTATCACTGTATTTAGGTATCCATGCTCCAGCGTAAGCTCCGTTAGCTGGAAGATTGAGTCGGGCTCGTGCCACAGTATGACGAGTGTCAAGGACGGAAGATGCACTCAGCTGATCATCAGCAATATGATGAGCCCCGCTGATTAATGCAACACCATTACATCCTGTAACAACAATGCTGATATGTCATAAAGTCATAGAATATCAATTACCAGTCGAAAAATCACTGTAATTGTTAAGTTCTGTAATGGTCTTATCCACTGAATATACACTTTATTCACTCCAAAAAACATTCAAAGCTAAATAGAGAACTTGAATCATATTTTGGACCTCAAGACAAGCAACTACCAACTTGATAGGTGGTCTTTTATGGATGTCTAATTGAAAGCAACTAATGTTCTTAAATTTCATAATATCAAGTTTGGTAGTAAAGGACTGTTAAAATCTTACTCCAGTTGACTTTTATCATATCTTAACTGTTTACTACATGATTTTACAAAAAAATACATTTCCGTATAACAATCAAAATGATGATTAAAATGTGGTTCATGCACCAGATTGAACAAAAAGATAACAATTTAAGGTGCTTCAGTCCAGTTCATTGTCCCAAATTTAACTTGTAACTATCTTCCTTTTTTCATAAATATTTTCTTTTCTCTTGACTAATAATGTATATTTTTAATTATTTATAATTCACAAGTGCAAAGCAAGGGAGGTAACCACCACTCACCATTTTGACAAACCAGGATATCAAAGGCCAGTGCTATATTGGTATGCCATCCATTCGGGACTATCCTGATGAATCTAGCTTGAAAATGTGACTTGAAGTAGTATGTTACAGGAGAACTGTTGTCAACGTTTCCTGGGATATTCTGGCAAATAGAGAAATTAGTGAAAATTTAGGTTGAAAAATAGGTTTAAATTAACTTCTGGCTGCAAAGTAGATTATTTTAGATTTTTATTTCTATCGGGACATAAATCATCTCTGGGGCATTTCCGAGACAGACGCCTAATTTGCGGGACATTCCCGGACGTCCGGGACGTTATGGAATGTATGGTTTAACTATCCTGAGAAACTGCCTTTTACATAAAATAAACAGAAAATAGCAATATATACACAGCAGAAACATTGTAAAAATTTAATAATAGTATATTAGGTCTTATTTTGCAAACTGGTAATACAATGTACACTATACATGTAAAATGTCACTTGCATCATGAGTATCTAAATGTTTCATCCAATAAAGATAATTGCAAAAATAAAAATATTAAGATATTCATTATCCTCAACATATTGTTTCTTTTTGACATTTTTTACAATTCAGTTTCTCACCACAAGTCATTCACTTATTAACAACCTACTGATAGTCTAATTTAAAGTTAGAAATAGAGGAACTTCTGTGGCCATGTGGTAAAGGTTGCTGGCTTCAATTTGATCCTTCTCACCACTGTGTGTTTAAAATCCATCCATAACTTTGGATTCCTTCTATTCAGCTTGGTTAAATGGGGGTAGGTGATTATACCAAGGTGCCCCCATGTAATGCACACAGTAGTAGTAACTCAAGTCTCCTGAAACTACCCAACTAACCTTAACAGTGTCAAGGTCACTTAAAATCCAAGAATACTAAATCAAGTTAAATAAGATAGCAAACCTTGGGTTTTCCGTATGGTTCCTGGTAATAAAGAGACGGGGTATTTGTTGTGCCGTACTTCAAGCGAAACTGAGTCACCCATTCTTGAGCTGCCGGGTTACCTTTCACTGTTACACCACGTATCAAAAATATATTACCTAAATCTACCTGCAACAATAAAAACAAACAGATCGTGTTATACATAATTGGACAAAATCTCCAAGCACCAAAGAAAAATCCTTTATAAAACAAAGTAACATAAAATATGATATCAAATATAAAGATCAGTATTAGTGAATGACTTTTAGTGTAAAAGTATATACTTTTCATCAAACATCATAAGAAAAAGCTGAAAACCTTCAATCTACTGTATATAATTTCCATTTCCACTTTTTAGTAGCATTTTGAGACTCAAATTTGACATATAGAGTGTAAAGTGCATCTTATAACCAAATACCTACTGACAAATTTTTTTACAAATACAGTCGACACTGTATTAAGAGACCACTCAAGGGACTGCCAAAAAGTGGTCTCTTAATAAAGTGGTCTCTCAATAGAATTCTGGAAAATTCGAGACTTTTTTATATTACAAGTCATAGATATAATAACATCTTTTTATAAAAACAAAAACTATACAATATTATATATGTATTACATTTTCATAATTACATTTATGCCTTTCTTTTAAAAAAGTCATCAATATGTGTTTGTTTTTTAGTAGAAATTTGTGTACAATTGTGATCTACGCTCATAATATTATTAACAGGTCATTTTGACCTTGAAACAAAGCATATTGTCATATATTATTAATATGTTCATACACATCTCCTGCTGAACATACTTTCAAATCATCAGCCAGACCTCTAGATAAATTTTCATGCAATGAGTTTTAAACTACTTGATTTTTTCAGCAATTAGTTTTCACACTACCCCGATTTCAAAACATTAAAGTTTTAGAGATCTTAGAATATCATTATTATTTTTTTTTTTTATTCCTTTATTATTTTTTTTATTTTTGTCGAAGGGTCATATTTAATACACCATCAGATATTGTGATATTGATATCTCTGTAAAAGGTGTTGAGAAGCTCTTAAAAAACCTTAACCCCCATAAGGCTGCAGGACCTGACCAAATTAGACCCATAGTGCTGAAAAATACCAGTAAAGAATTAGCCCCTATAGTGTCCAAACTTTTCCAAAAATCACTGCAGTCCAGCACTATACCAGACATCTGGAAAATGGCGAATGTGGCCCCTGTCTTTAAAAAAGGTAGCAAGTCAGACCCAGCAAACTATCGCCCTATCTCTCTTACCTGTATCTTGTGTAAAACCCTGGAACACATTGTCTCCTCCAGCATAACAAAGCACTTTACTAGATCAAACTTGTTCTATGAATTGCAGCATGGTTTCCGAGAAAAAAGGTCATGTCAATCCCAACTATTAATGCTTATAGATGATATCCTACAGTCAGTAAATCAGAGAAGCCAAGTAGACTTAATCCTTCTTGACTTCTCTAAGGCCTTTGATATGGTCAACCATGAAAAACTCCTGTATAAGCTGCATTTCTACGGTATAAGGGGTCAAACTCTTAAATGGATCAAATGTTTTCTTGATAACAGGTCACAGTCCGTGGTGGTAAATGGCTCCACATCCAGCTCCATACCAGTCTCCTCCGGTGTTCCCCAGGGCTCGGTCCTCGGACCTCTCTTATTTCTTATATACATCAATGACCTTCCTGAATATGTCCAATCCTCTAAAGTCCGCCTATTTGCTGATGACACGGCCATCTATCTATCTCTGACTGTCGCTTCTCATTCTAGCTTACTGCAACACGACTTACACCAACTTGAACAATGGGAGACAAAATGGGACATGCAATTTAATCCATCAAAATGCACAGTTATCCAAATCACAAAACGAAAAACAGTCATTCCAACACAATACCTTCTACATAACACCACATTAGAAACAGTCTCATCTGCAAAATACCTTGGCATTACAATATCAAATGATCTAACATGGAACAAACACATAAACAACATCACAACAAAGGCAAATCAAACACTTGGTTTTCTACGCCGAAATATCAAGGTTCACTCAGAAAGGTTAAAGTCAACTGCATACAAGACACTTGTTAGGCCCCAGCTCGAGTATAGCTCCACGGTCTGGTCCCCCTACACAGGAACTCTCATTGACCAGATAGAGTCTGTCCAGAGAAGAGCTGCTAGGTGGGTCAAACATGACTTTGGCCGTATGTCGAGTGTCACTGACATGTTGACTTCCCTTCAATGGAGGCGCCTTGACCTTCGGCGTATTGACCAACGCCTGGTCATGTTTCACAACATCTTGCATGACCAGGTGGCTATCCCTTTCCCAAATTATATCGTCAATTAGATCATCAAGAACATCCCATCCCCATGCATTCCAACAAGTCCAAACTAAAACTGATTACTATAAATATTCATTTTTCCAAAGAACAATAGTCCACTGGAATGCTTTACCACCTGATATCATGAACTTGTCTGGCCCCGAGTTCAGTCTGGCTGTTAGCCGGATTGAACATACGTCTCCCTAAAATACCTTCTCTATTTTTAACCTGTTTTTAACAATTTACTCATTTCCATTACTTTTATATTCTTTTATTTCAGTTCTTTTACTAACATTCTTGTCAGTTGACGCGCGTCAAGTCTAGGTCCCCAGCAGGGGTTTGACTATATGGAAGATAGATAGATAGATAGATCAGCAATGAAAGGCTCGGTTTCTATAATGTTTAGTCCACTACGTTTCACGATTTTATTTCGACTACAAACGATGGCATTTGCTATTTACTCAGACTCAATTCCATGCACGATTTCCTCATTCAATTTATCCGGTATTATTAGTTGTCTGTCAATTTTTCGCTCGTTCCAACGTCATTTTCGATTTGATTTTCTGGAAGGGAGGTCACTCTGAGCACATGACAAAACTGTGCCAATGCGGTGTTGTGATACGTTACTGCTCTGACAAAATATGTCACAATTAAAACTGTTTCTTTCTTTCCGATTTTGAAACGATTACAATTGTTATTAAATTCATTTTTAAACGAGAATTATTTGTGACGGTCTATTTGACGGCCGTTTAATAGATACTTTAAGACCAATGACCATGAAAAATATTTGTTTGTTCAATCCTACTCGCTAATTACACAGGTGAGAATGTCTGTAGGGACGATTGTTTGTCACGGCCGTTTAATAGATACTTTAACACTGAATTTTGTACATTTTGGCCGACATTTAGTGGCCGCTGGCCGCGATATAAAATCGTCGTTTAATGGAATTAACTTATATAGTAAAAATCATCGGGAGGGATTTTATGCGGCCGCTTAATAAAAAAGTCGCCCAATAAAGGTGGACGCAACTACGATGCCGACTGTATCTTCTATCTTGCGATATTTTCACCTTATCTACCTTCACTTTCTAAAAAGAAGATGTGCCTTATTAGCTGGTATGTATGGTACATGTAATGAGTACAAACATAAAATCTTTCAAGGATGTTGGTCATCATTATAAGAAGCAGAAAAGACATAAAGCTATGAAATACAACCAAACCTGAATCCACTGGTTTGTGTTGGAGATCTGAGGTTTCCAACATGCTGGTATCACACCCTGGGTTACTGGTCGTAACCGTGCAGCTTTGGCATCATGTGCAATGTCGGAAAACCCCGATGATTGTAACTGACCGTCCATGGCAACCAAAGGTCCACTCACAGCATAGTCAGGTATACAACTCTCTTAAACATGCAAATTTACATCTTTTTATTTCAGAGTAATCATTCACAGGGCATTTAAGAAAACAAGCAAATATACATTCACTTATATTGGAATACAACATTCACAGGGCATTTAAGAATTTGCCTAAAGCACCAACTTTGAAATGTATACTTAATTAATTAATGAGGAACAGTAGCCTGAGTGTCTAGTTTTGCTTCATAAATAATATGCTCTTGCTTAAGCTTTCATATTTGTTACATCTGTAACAAAAAATTATTGTTTTTAAGTGTCACACACACAAACTTTAAAAATAAACAACTCAATGAATTTATTCTATTTCTAATAGAATAAAAAGTTTTTTTTAAAGACTTAAGATCTTGCATTATTATTACAAAATAATTATGTTATCTATCATGAAAGGAACTTTATATATTCAGCTAGAAATAAACAATGTACCTTCTAGACAACCAAGAATTTCTAATCTAAGGGATATACCCTGGTTCCATTGGACAGGAATTAACTTCACCTGTTTGGCTTCAAATGGGAAGAACAAGGTGTTAGTGACTGGAGTGCTGGAATCATTGTTGCCAGAAAATATCTGAAAACAAGAAGGAAAATTAGCATTTTCACAATACGAGAATGCATTATCTTTTAGATTTTTACCTTGATGATGGTTTGAAAATTAATCAATGATTACCAATAAGAAGACATTTTTTTTAAAGGGACTCCACTGAAGCTTTTTGACATAATGGGACTGGAATTTTTTTTTGAGATTAATATTTCATTTGATATTGGTCTAGACCAATAATTTTTTTGCAAAATTTCAGATCATTCTATCACTCCGTTTTTCCAGGATGACTATTTTTATGGTAAGGAATGACACAAAATTGAAAAGCATTGCAATACTTTTCACTCAATTCAAGCTAATAGCACAAAAATATGATTTTCTATTTATTTCTGAGTACATGTTTGTATATTTCTAAATATCTTTTGCATATATTTCTGTTTTAAGTTCTCTATGTAAGAAATTCAAATTTTGTATTTTAGGGTGTGGACCTCAGTGTAGTTCCTTTAAATGTTCTGGAAAAGGATGTAATCAATCATAAGTTGTCCAATGGTTGATCTGAATACATATTTCTAGAAACCAGGTCCACAGTAGTTATGGTTTAAGTCAAGTACGCAAGAGAGAATTTTCCTTTTACAGAACTACTTTGATGAATGACTGATATATACATTTTGAGAGAGATGTTTTTACCTTGACAGTACCAGGTGGGTCGTTGTATTTCAACCATTCCGAATAGTATGTCTCCTGGTATTGTATTTGATATTGTGACACCCATTCATCAACGTCCGTCCGTCCAGCTGTAATAATTGCTTTCACGACTATAGTGTTATAAAATAACACTGTTATATACTGATTTGTATCAGCTGTTTTTGCTGACCAGCCTCCCCCAGCTGTAAAAAAATTATCAAGAAATACTGCTGTAATAAAATTATCAAGAAATACTGCTGTAATTAAGATATCGACAAATATTATGAGTTGTAACAAAAATTTCAAAAAATACTGCTGCAATTATTATTAATGTAATAAAGTACATCCTTTTTGTAAATGGTTATTCATTCACCTGATCACTCAATTCATTTTCATGATTTATGACAATTTTCCATAAAAACTGAGGTGCAGTATAATTATTTTCCTTAAAAAAAATCTACCTGTCTTATAAGAGGGTCTTAGCATAAGTGTCATTTCAGAGACATAATAAGGACCCTGGTCTTATAAGAGGTCTATCTTATAGGAGAACAAATACCTTTACTCCAGCAATATGTCTATAGTTATTAAAATATATTCAACCTCCTAACAGCAACTGCATCTAACCATGTGACAAGTGCAGACCATGGTCATCCTGTGTCATCTGATCAACCTGTGTCATCTGATCAACCTGTGTCATCTGATCAACCTGTGTCATCTGATCATTCTGTGTCATCTGATCAACCAGTGTCATCTGATCAACCTGTGTCATCTGATCAACCTGTGTCATCTGACCAACCTGTATCATCTGACCAACCTGTGTCATCTGATCAACCTGTGTCATCTGATCAACCTGTGTCATCTGACCAACCTGTATCATCTGACCAACCTGTATCATCTGATCAACCTGTGTCATCTGATCAACCTGTGTCATCTGATCAACCTGTGTCATCTGATCAACCAGTGTCATCTGATCAACCAGTGTCATCTGATCAACCAGTGTCATCTGATCAACCTGTGTCATCTGATCATCCTGTGTCATCTGATCAACCAGTGTCATCTGATCAACCTGTGTCATCTGATCAACCTGTGTCATCTGATCAACCTGTGTCATCTGATCATCCTGTGTCATCTGATCAACCAGTGTCATCTGATCAACCAGTGTCATCTGATCAACCAGTGTCATCTGATCAACCTGTGTCATCTGATCATCCTGTGTCATCTGATCAACCAGTGTCATCTGATCAACCTGTGTCATCTGATCAACCTGTGTCATCTGATCAACCTGTGTCATCTGATCATCCTGTGTCATCTGATCAACCAGTGTCATCTGATCAACCTGTGTCATCTGATCAACCTGTGTCATCTGATCAACCTGTGTCATCTGATCAACCAGTGTCATCTGATCAACCAGTGTCATCTGATCAACCAGTGTCATCTGATCAACCTGTGTCATCTGATCAACCTGTGTCATCTGATCAAACTGTGTCATCTGATCAACCTGTGTCATCTGATCAACCTGTGTCATCTGATCAACCTGTGTCATCTGATCAACCTGTGTCATCTGATCAACCTGTGTCATCTGATCAACCTGTGTCATCTGATCAACCTGTGTCATCTGATCAACCAGTGTCATCTGATCAACCTGTGTCATCTGATCAACCAGTGTCATCTGATCAACCTGTGTCATCTGATCAACCTGTGTCATCTGATCAACCTGTGTCATCTGATCAACCTGTGTCATCTGATCAACCAGTGTCATCTGATCAACCTGTGTCATCTGATCAACCAGTGTCATCTGATCAACCTGTGTCATCTGATCAACCTGTGTCATCTGATCAACCTGTGTCATCTGATCAACCTGTGTCATCTGATCAACCTGTGTCATCTAATCAACCTGTGTCATCTGATCAACCTGTGTCATCTGATCAACCTGTGTCATCTGATCAACCTGTGTCATCTGATCAACCTGTGTCATCTGATCAACCTGTGTCATCTAATCAACCAGTGTCATCTGATCAACCTGTGTCATCTGATCAACCTGTGTCATCTGATCAACCAGTGTCATCTGATCAACCTGTATCATCTGATCAACCTGTGTCATCTGATCAACCTGTGTCATCTGATCATCCTGTGTCATCTGATCATTCTGTGTCATCTGATCATGGTCTGCACAGGTCAGTATTCACTCAGTATGTATACATGTACTGAAAATTTTCCCTAAAGATGATAAATGGTCATGTCTAGATGTAAAAATGGACAAGTCCATTTAAGATATTTAAAGTTGTAAGGGTTGATTATTTGAAATGTACAACCATAATGAATGTTTAAAAATACCTAGTAAATTATTTGGGAAGAGTCTAGCATTAAGGGCTGTATGTTGAGCATCTCTTGGAGGAGAAGATTTAAATGATCCACTATCTACCAGACTGTAGTTTCCTGATATCATAGCTTCTCCTTTACAATTACCTTTATGAATAACAATAAATAATAAAACATGTAAAATATATCATGTGTGATGTATGAATTGAAAAAAATAACACCCATAAAATAACAGAAAAAAATAAAGAAAAAAAAAGGAAATCATGTAAAAGAGGAAAAAAATGAATAATTTAGCAATGTTATATTTTATTAAAAGAACAAAATCTTGTAAACTTGCTTAAAACTGTTTTGATCCTGTGCTAGCACTGCTAAAAGACTGAGTTTTAACAGCTTCTGTCATTTCAATATTAATTTTTTTCACATTTAAAATGCTTCAGAAAAAAAACCCATCTTGGCCATAACTATCATTTGTAACAAACAAGAGGGCCATGATGGCCCTGAAGTCGCTCACCTGTATATAGGCCCCCGGAGTGGGGCCAGTTTAAATCCCAGGGCTTTTATTTGAACAAACTTGGTAGACACCCATTAGAAGATGTTTCATGCTAAACATCTAAGGTCTAGCTGGTCAAGTTTTTTCTTTACACATATAGTTAAAAACAATGACACACCTGGGGCAGGGCCAGTTTTGACCCAAGGGCTTTTATTTGAACAGAACAAACTTTGTAGACACTCACTAAAAGATGTTTCATGCTTAGTATCTTAACTATAGCTATTTTGGTTTTTTTTCAAAGAAGATTTTTTAAGTTTTTGCTATACACATATAAGGAAAATCAATGAACCCCTGGGGCGGGGCCAATTTTGACCCCTGGGCTCTTATTTGAACAAACTTGGTAGACATCCATTAGAACTAGGGCCGGGAATTATATTCGAATATTCGAATATTCGAAACACTACCGAATATTCGAACATTGAAAAACGAATACGAATATTCGAAAAAAAGAGTGTTTTTTGGAATTACTTTCAAATTTCAATTAAGATAACAATTGAACCATTGACCTTTACTTGACCAGTTGTTCACACGTTTGTATGACACGTGTCAACGATTATCGCCAATTAACTGTGAAAACTTTGGGGTCTATAGTTGATCAAAAGGGCACCCGTTTCACAGTTTGCAATTTAACTGTTGAACAGAATATAATGTAAATTTCCGATTTTAATTATCTTATTTATTGTTTCCTGTGCAATAATCTGCCCGATTAATCAGTAATTGTCTTAAATTTTGTGAAGACGAAAAAATCGACACGTATTAATCGGTGCTTTATGTAAGCATGGTCAGTGTCTATATTCCGTCAAAATATATTTATTCCGTAGAAACTAAGACTCCGTGCGATATTTACTGCGTTATAGCTAAATGTATCTGAAGAATATTTTAAACCTTATCTGAAATTATAAATAAATAATATATTTAATTCAAGTTAGGTTTCAATGTAAATTATGTGTTTTGGGGGCTAAGAAGCTACGGTGATTCATATTACTGTCAATCAAGTCACGTGAGTTACCTACCATGAAGACAAATGATCAGCAGTCGGATTAACTGAACAAAAGGCAATCAAATTATGAATTTATTTCAAAAGTAAACATTTATGTCGATTTACAATATATACAATAAAAAACTTTTACGTAGCTATATAGGTATTTTTAATCGTCGATTATTCCAAACATATTAAAATTGTACAGTATTCGACGCAATCAATTTCGGATACGTATACGTCAAAGAGAAATATTGGAACAAAAGTTTTAAAAACGAATATTCGAATATATTCGAATATGGAAAACGAATATTCGAACATCAAATTCCTTATTCGTTCCCAGCCCTAATTAGAACATGTTTCATGCTAAATATCTTAGCTCTAGCTCTTTGGGTTCTTTAAAAGAAGATTTTTTAAGTTTTTACTATATGCATATAGGGAAAATCAATGACCCCCTGGAGCGGGGCCAATTTTGACCCCAGGGCTTTTATTTGAACAAACTTGGTAGACACCCATTAGAGGATGTTTCATGCTAAATATCTTAGCTCTAGCTCTTTGGGTTCTTTAAAAGAAGATTTTATAAGTTTTTACTATATGCATATAGGGAAAATCAATGACCCCCTGGGGCGGGGCCAATTTTGACCCCAGGGCTTTTATTTGAACAAACTTGGTAGACACCCATTAGAGGATGTTTCATGCTAAATATCTTAGCTCTAGCTCTTTGGGTTCTTTAAAAGAAGATTTTATAAGTTTTTACTATATGCATATAAGGAAAATCAATGACCCCCTGGGGCGGGGCCAATTTTAACCGTAGGGCTTTTATTTGAACAAACTTGGTAGACACCCATTAGAGGATGTTTCATGCTAAATATCTTAGCTCTAGCTCTTTGGGTTCTTTAAAAGAAGATTTTTTAAGTTTTTACTATATGCATATAGGGAAAATCAATGACCCCCTGGGGCGGGGCCAATTTTGACCCCAGGGCTTTTATTTGAACAAACTTGGTAGACACTCAATAGAAGATGTTTCTTGCCAAATATCTAAGCTCTAGCTCTTTGGGTTTTTTAGAAGAAGATATTTAAAGTTTTTTCTTTTGGTTGCCATGGCAACCAGATTTCTGCATGGAATTAAATTCTTTGAACAATTTTCAAAGGTGACCACCAAAGGAACATTCCTGTGAAGTTTGGATGAAATTGGCTTAGTGGTTTATGAGAAGATGTCCTTTAAAGTAAAAGTTTACGGACGACGGATGGACGACGGACGGACGACGGACGCCGGACGAAAAGCGATCACAAAAGCTCACCCTGTCACTTTGTGACAGGTGAGCTAAAAAAGTCATTGGTCTTTTTGAGCTATACAGAATGAATCACCATCACATACAAAATTTATTCTCTACGACTTATGAACAATTTTCATAATGTGATATTATGGTCAAAGAAAAGAAAAACATAGTAAAACTACAAATCTATTACAAAATACTAAAATCAATAATCCAAAATTAATTAATTACTATATTACCTTTATTAAAACCTGTTGGTGGAGCCACAGTTAAAGCTGTTGTGGTCAAGGCTGAAACAAACATAGCTCATTTACATGAACATACCTCCGTTGTATGGATATGAAATGTCAACTTACAATTTAAAGGCATTCAAGCATCCTCAATCTAGGTATTTGTATAGAGTACATAAAATGCTTTGATTAATGAAATAATATTATATTAAAATAAACATGTATTTAATTTATCTAAATGGTGTTATTAACTTTAAGTTTTCATCTGAACCACTCAAGTCTGCTTCCCAGAACTAACCAGCCCTAGTGCCATATAAGGAAACTGGGTTGTGACCGATTTGGTCTTGAAGTCACAATCTCTAGCTTGAGAGGCAAACTGGCACCTTTATCATGTCAATTATTTCTGTCCAATCCATCATAAACTTTGATTTGAATGATTTCACAAGTAAAAATAAAACCAATGCAAGAATAATCAAGGGCAAGTTATTAATTATATAAATATGGCATATGTGTTATCCTGAGACAAAGTTACTTTAACACAACTAAAACAAGGTTAATCAAATTGAAGAAAGAAACTTCATAAGAACATTGAATTTGACATGTTGCTTCTTTTCACCCAATGCTTGTACCTTTATCATGCACTTTTTTTATGGAAAAGAAAAGCAGCTTAGAAGATACAAATACCATTTTTCTTGCAGATAAAGACTTCTTCCTTGCTACAGTATTTGTCATTCCACTGATAATTCCAGCTAGGAACCATTTCAGCACAGTTTTCAGGCTCAACACCAAACCTCACGTTATTTGGCTCTCCTGGGTGCCAGTTCAAATATCTGGAAGATACATTATACATCTTCAAGCATGAAATAATAACAAGGAGATAGGTATACTCTTACCAGTTAAAGAAGCCATAGCAATAGAAAGTCTATCTGAAGTATGCTAGTAAAAGAAACTTGTTTCATCCAAAAGAATCCAGGAAATATAAGTCAAATAATGTAATAGCTTTTATGTCTTTCATTTGACATGCAGCTCTTTTCCTCCAAATGCACTACTTGTTTTTTTTTAAAAAAAGAAATGATTAATTAGAGTTGAATAATTACATATGTTCCCCTAATGTACACCTATAGATAATTATTTACCTAAATGGTGTGTTATCAACCCAGTGCCAACCTCCTTCTTGTGTCTGGTCTGTGGCTCCTATCCAAAAGTTAAGCTGTAATCTTGCATACTTTGGGGATGACAATAGCGCTGGAATATAAATCCCACAATCTTACTACTACAGTATTATCCGTGACAAAAACTGTGTTCATACCTAGCCATGATTTAACAAGATTTCCATGAAAAAGATCATTTATTTTCCACTTAAGTGAAATGGTAGAAGACAAATTTTCATACACATGGTGTATATTCAAATTATATTGCTGCACATGTCATATAAATGTTACTTTTTCCCTATAGAAAAAAAAAAACAGCCATTTTTTATTCAATTTTGTCGATATATTACTAAGGTTTGAAAGCATCTTAAATGAAGAAGGGCTGATTTACTGGTCATTGATAACAGTCATGTCCATCCATACACAATCTTTAATTTAAAGTGACATTATGTCCATCCTGGAGGGCATAAATGAGTGAACAGGTGGAAGTCAAAATAAGTTTTCATTTTGCCATAATTCATTTAAGAAATAACATCGGCCTGAGAGGTGTATATCGGCTATTTAACACCGGTTCGGAGTTTTGATGCGTAGGAATTGACCACGAAGGCCGTAGGCCTGAGTGGTTAATTTTGTCGCATCAAAACGACAAAACCTGTGTTAAATAGCCGATATACACCTCTCAGGCCGATGTTATTTCGATTCTAACAAGATAAAATAAGGAAAATCACTAATGTTATTTTTCAAGCGGAAATAACTTCCAGTGCCGATTTTCGTATAACGCTGTTCGATTTTCGCACCCTACTGTTGCGAAGATATAGAAATTATCAAAAATAAGAAAAAAACGTTATTTTATCAAGTTTTCAAAAATAAAAACTTAAGTCGTATTGTGTTTACATCAGTGCCCCATTTATCATTCTTGTATCTATGAAATAACGTCAGCTTGTTTATGCATGAGTTGTTTATTTAGGATGACGTCATTACGCTGCTTACGAATTGGCGCCGTTTTGTCAAAATATTTATTAACTGATATGGATTTAAAATGTGGCGTTAGTGTATGTGAGATATTATTTTGGTTTTGTATGAAAAGAAAACATTATACGAACTGAAAATATAAATAAAAATGCTTTTTATTGTTGCTTTAAAATGCTTTCTAAACTATACAATCGAGGGTGAAAACATAACAGCGCATAAACAAGTAGTCCCCAGCCGATGTTTATTGGCAGTTTAACACCAGTTTTTTTCCTTCTTTGTCTATAGTGACAAAATCACGTGAGTGTTAGAATTTCATATAACAAGAGCTGTCGGTAGGACAGCACGCTCGACTATTCTAAGTGCTTGATAGTAAAAGAGCCTTGATAATGTTAAATTATTTAAGTTTACAAAAGGGCTAATTTTTTTTTTTTATAAATTTATGTTATAGGCCTTAGAGAGAGTCTAATTATACAGTATTGGCTTGACTATTCGGAAGGTAATGTCACAAAGGTGTTTTATTGAGTATAATAATACTAATTACCTATGAATACATAAATTTGACAGAAAAGGTACAAAGGCTTGTTATTAAGATGTTTTTGTTAATAAGATGTTTTATCAAGTAAATCACTGCTTTATTATTATGAATGCATAAAATTGTCCCAAAAAAGGCACAAACCCTTCAGTAGTTATTGAGATAACAGCTTACAAGCAAAACTTTACCATGAATTTCTAAGTTGAAAAAGGGGAGAAAAATCAGCCTAAATGCAAGACAGAATTTAATATGGATCTTTGTCAGTGACCTACAATTATGACCCTAAATGCATATGTGAAGTTTTAAATAAATATCTTTAATAGTTATTGAGATATGTAAAACTTGACCAAGAGACTAAGTAGAAAAGGGGATATGAATCAGCCTTAATGCAAGATACAGTTATGGAACTTGGTCAGTGACATACAATTATGACCCTCCAATTATGACCCTTAAAGTGCATGTGTAAAGTTTCAAGTAAATATATTTGAAGACCTTTAACCTTTAACCAAAATTTCTAAATTTCAATAATTCTGCAAATATTGCAGGCAGAGTTATGCAATTTTGCAAACTGATGTACATTGTTACTATAAAAAGGTATTTTTCAATTGAATATCTCAAGCAATAATTGAGATATTTGACTTTATAAAAACATTTAACAAAAATTTCTAAGTCCCAAAGGGGCATAATTATGTCAATATTGTAGGCAGAGTTATCCAACTTGTCAATCTGATGTACCTTGTTACTATAAATAAGTATTGTAAGTTTCAGTTGCATATCTCATGCAATAATTGAGATATTTGACTTTACAAAAAACTTTAACCAAAATTTCTAAGTTAAAAAGGGGCATAATTCTGTCAATATTGTAGGCAGAGTTATCCAACTTGTCAATCTGATGTACCTTGTTACTATAAATAAGTATTGTAAGTTTCAATTGAATATCTCAAGCAATAATTGAGATATTTGACTTTACAAAAAACTTTAACCAAAATTTCTAAGTTAAAAAGGGGCATAATTCTGTCAATATTGTAGGCAGAGTTATCCAACTTGTCAATCTGATGTACCTTGTTACTATAAATAAGTATTGTAAGTTTCAATTGAATATCTCAAGTAATAATTGAGATATTTGACTTTACAAAAAACTTTAACCAACGCAGACGCCGACGCGGACGCTGACGCCGACGCCGACGCCGACACCGGGGCGACTACAATAGCTCTCATATTCTTCGAATAGTCGAGCTAAAAATTACTTCACATTAAAAATAAACAATGCACGGATTCAAACAAATTTATCATAAGTATCCATTAGAATTTATCTATATTGTTCAGTTCATAAAAAGAGTGGGGAAGTCTTTTTTATATTTTAGGAGGATTTGACTTTTTCCTAAACATTTTCCAATATGAACTGTTGGTCAATTACCATTTTAACAGCCAATCTTATATATGTAGTCAGTTTAGCTCAACTTGACTATGAAAATATGAGCATAAATGTCACTTAAACATAATTTGACTTACCTTGTATAAAATTTTGTTCTTGAACACCAGAGACAGATAGCAGATCACCATTATTCTGTTGACAGTATGCTCTAGCACCTTGCCATGTTCTTGGTAGACCAAGCACAACTTGGTAACAAAAATTACTGGTAGGGCTGTATATCCAGCCAAAACCACACTGCGTGGATATTTGTGCTAAAATTAATGACAAAAGGAATAATTAGAGAACAAGATATGAGGGGGGAGGTTTGGTTTAAGATTAGAGGAAAAGATATGAGGGTCGATCGAGGTTTGGTTTAAGATTTTAGGACAAGATATGAGCCGCGAGGTTTGGTTTAAGATTTGAGGACAAGATATGAGGAGCAAGGTTTGGTTTAAGATTTGAGGACAAGATATGAGGGTTGAGGTTTGGTTTAAAATGTGATGGGTGAGGTTTGGTTTAAGATAAGAGGAAAAGATATGAGGGGCGAGATTTTGTTTAAGATAAGAGGAAAAGATATGAGGTCCAAGGTTTGGTTTAAGATTAAAGGACAAGATGTGAGGGCTGAAGTTTGGTTCTAGATAAGAGGGCAAGAAATGAGGGGCGAGGTTATTTTGACCATTAAAGGACAAGATATGAGGGGAGAGGTTTGGTTTAAGATTAAAGGACAACATGTGAGGGCTGAAGTTTGGTTATAGATAAGAGGACAAGATATGAAGTGCGTTGAAGATTGTTGAAGATTAGAGGACAAGATATGAGGGGTGAGGTTTGGCTTAAGAGTAAAGGACAAGATATGAGGGGCAAGGTTATGTTGAAGATTAGAGGACAAGAAATGAGGGGTGAGGTTTGGCTTAAGATTAAAGGACAAGATATGAGGGGCAAGGTTATGTTGAAGATTAGAGGACAAGATATGAGGGGTGAGGTTTGGTTTAAGATTTAAGGACAAGATATAGGGGCAACGTTATGTTGAAGATTAAAGGACAAAATATGAGGGGCAAGGATATGTTGAAGATTAAAGGACAAGCTATGAGGGGTGGGGTTTGGTTTAAGATTTAAGGACAAGATATGTGGAGCGAGGTTATTTTGAAGATTAGAGGACAAGATATGAGGGGTGAGGTTTGGTTTAAGATTTAAGGACAAGATATGTGGAGCGAGGTTATGTTGAAGATTAAAGGACAAGATATGAGGGGTGAAGTTATGTTGAAGATTAAAGGACAAGCTATGAGGGGTGGGGTTTGGTTTAAGATTTAAGGAGAAGATATGAGGATCGAGGTTATGTTGAAGATTAGAGGACAAGATATGAGGGGCGAGGTTATGTTGAAGATTAAAGGACAAGCTATGAGGGGTGGGGTTTGGTTTAAGATTTAAGGAGAAGATATGAGGATCGAGGTTATGTTGAAGATTAAAGGACATTATATGTGGGGCGAGATTTGGTTTAAGATTAGAGGGCAAGTTATGAGGGGCAGGAGTTTGGTTTAACTCTTAACCCCCAAAAATGCAATAGTAAGCTTTGAATTTTGGAATAGTCTAGTAAAATTTTAGGGCATTTCAATTTGTAAATAGAGAAACTCAGCAACCATCAGATTAGAGTCTGGGCAGACAGAATTAAAGTATTTGCAAAAAAAAAGCACTAAAAAAGAAGTCAATTAGGTTGTTTTTTCTTGCTGAAGTTTTTTTTAAAAAAACAACTCTTTTCAAAATTTTTTCTTTTTAAAATTTCCAATAACAATTATGCAAAATGTAATGTTTACACAGCACACAAAACATTTTTAAGCATTATTTCTACCATTATAGGCCTATAAAATCAAATTATATAAAATCAATATAAAGATGACTTACTAGGTACAGGTGGACCAGTTGGTGGCAAGATTACTTTAGGAACTGAAAAAAAAATGTAACATATATGTTTATTTATCATTAAAACAGAAACCAACCAAATAATTATTACATCATCCAAATACATAAACATAACACAAACAACAAATAAAATAAAAAACATTACACAAATCTAATGGATAATCATTACTTAAACATATTGAATAATTATTACGCTTATCAAATAAATAGTTGAATGAAAAATCAAATGGAGCTTTGAATTATTTTCACTAAAGCGCCGAAAAAGATGCACATAAAAAAATGACAAACTTTCAATGGCTGAGCAATCAAAAGTAATTTTAGTTATCATTGCGGTAAAACTTTTAACCATTATATGAAGTAATGAGATTTAAATACAGATACAATGTATATGCCATTTAGAACAAAATGCAGCCAGTGATTATGATACTACACTCTGTGAATATAATTTACACATGTGTAGTTAAAAATCTTTGCTGTATGTTCCAGGATACTTGGATCAAAACAGTAGCAACTAGAGTGTTAACAAGATTTTTCTATTTTTAGCTCCGGTGACCTAGTTTCACATGAGATTTCGAACTCATCCAAGCAATTACCTAGACAAGCATCCTGACCAAGTTTGATGATAATTGAGTCGAAAAATGTGACCACTACAATGTTAACAAGGTTTTTCCATATTTGGGCGGTGTGACCTAGTTTTTCATCCAAGATGACCCATGTTCGATCTTGACTTAGAAATCATCAAAACAAACTTTCAGACCAATTAACAGAATATTTGGATCACAACAGTAGCCACTAGAGTGTTAACAAGATTTTTCTATTTTTTAGCTCCTGTGACCTAGTTTTTTCATCTGAGATGACCCATGGTCGATTTATTCCCAGCAATGACCTAGACAAGTTTCCTGACCAAGTTTGATGACAATTGAGTCAAAATTGTGACCACTAGAGTGTTAACAAGGTTTTTCTATTTTTAGCTCCGGTGACCTAGTTTTTCATCCGAGATGACCCATGTTCGAACTCATCCGAGCTATCACCTAGACAAGCATCTTGATCAAGTTTGATGATGATTGATGCAAAAATGTGACCGCTAGAGTGTTAACAAGGTTTTTCTATTTTTAGCTCCGGTGACTTACTTTTTCATCATAGATGACCCATGTTCAAAACTCATCCGAGCTATCACCTAGACAAACATCCTGACCAAAATTGATGATGATTAAGGCAAAATTGTGACCTCTAGAGTGTTAACATGGTTTTTCTATTTTTAGCTCCGGTGACCTAGTTTTTCATCCGAGATGACCCATGTTCAAACTCATCCGAGCTTTCACCTAGACAAGCATCTTGACCAAATTTGATGATGACTGATGCAAAAATGTGACCGCTAGAGTGTTAACAAGGTTTTTCTATTTTTAGCTCCGATGACCTAGTTTTTCATCCGAGATGACCCATGTTCGAACTCATCCGAGCTATCACCTAGACAAGCATCTTGATCAAGTTTGATGATGATTGATGCAAAAATGTGACCGCTAGAGTGTTAACAAGGTTTTTCTATTTTTAGCTCCGGTGACCTACTTTTTTCATCCGAGATGACCCATGTTCAAACTCATCCGAGCTATCACCTAGACAAACATCCTGACCAAGTTTGATGATGATTGATGCAAAAATGTGACCGCTAGAGTGTTAACAAGGTTTTTCTATTTTTAGCTCCGGTGACCTACTTTTTCATCCGAGATGACCCATGTTCGAACTCATCCGAGCTATCACCTAGACAAGCATCTTGATCAAGTTTGATGATGATTGATGCAAAAATGTGACCGCTAGAGTGTTAACAAGCTTTTTTCTATTTTTAGCTCCGGTGACCTACTTTTTCATCATAGATGACCCATGTTCAAACTCATCCGAGCTATCACATAGACAAACATCCTGACCAAGTTTGATGATGATTGAGGCAAAATTGTGACCTCTAGAGTGTTAACATGGTTTTTCTATTTCTGGCTCCGGTGACCTAGTTTTTCATCATAGATGACCCATGTTCAAACTCATCCGAGCTTTCACCTAGACAAGCATCTTGACCAAGTTTGATGATGACTGATGCAAAAATGTGACTGCTAGAGTGTTAACAAGGTTTTTCTATTTTTAGCTCCGGTGACCTACTTTTTCATCCGAGATGACCCATGTTCGAACTCATTCGAGCTATCACCTAGACAAGCATCTTGACCAACTTTGATGATGATTGATGCAAAAATGTGACCGCTAGAGTGTTAACAAGGTTTTTCTATTTTTAGCTCCGGTGACCTACTTTTTCATCCAAGATGACCCATGTTCGAACTCATCCGAGCTATCACCTAGACAAACATCCTGACCAAGTTTGATGATGATTGAGGCAAAAATGTGACCTCTAGAGTGTAAACAAGGTTTTTCTATTTTTAGCTCTCGTGACCTAGTTTCTCATCCGAGATGACCCATGTTCGAACTCATCCGAGCTATCAACTAGATAAGCATCCTGACCAAGTTTGATGATGACTGATGAAAAAATGCGACCGCTAGAGTGTTAACAACTAAACAACTTGTGGACGGACGACGGACAGACTACGGACGGACGACGGACAATCATCGATCCTAAAAGCTCACCCTGAGCATGCTCAGGTGAGCTAAAAAGTGACCACTTTTTCAGCGCTGTCCCCCATCCAAATGTTAGATCAGGGGGTTGCCAGAAGGGGGATGTGCCCCCTTCTGTTTGGGGGGTTTGAAGGGGGGCGGAGTCCCCCGTCATCGCCAAGAAAATTTTGGACATGTGACAGGCTAAAAATGGCCTCAGGCCGATCTTAGGGTAACTAGTAACCGACGCTGAAAAGCCTTTTACTCTATCTCAATTCATTGAGAAGTTGCAGCACTTTGAAATCAGTTTTGATGGAAAAAAGCAATGCAAAATAGTGATTTTTGGCAATTTTGAGACGTCCCCCTGTTGCCATGGTAACAGGAAATTTACAATTGAGCATGCTGTTACAGAGGTTATGGTGTAGTCAACATTTGTGCCAAGTTTCATCAGTATTGAAGCATTTTTCATAGTTTCCTAGCAGTTTGAACTTGTTACAGGAGGCTTTTCAATGAAAACGGCCATTTTTCGCAATATGCTTATGGGGTAAAAGGTTAATAGCGTTTAATGATAATTTCTTGAATTTATTTAATATTGAAATGTGGTTTCTTTGTATTCTTCCTTTTTAACCAGTTTGTTTAATATTGTTTAATAAATTTGATATAATATGTGAACTCATGTGAAATGCTATAAAAAGAACAATTCATATATGACATCATAAGAATACATGGCTGACATCATACTCACCGGCATTTTTCTCACAGATAAATCCTTGTTGTATGGAACAGTTACCATCGTCCCACGAGCCCGTATAATCTCTACGTCCTCCGACAATCTGTATACATTCCTGACCATTCTTATAATCATCAGGTTCACCTGGGTAAAAATTCGTCTCATTTGCCTGTAAAAAAAACTATGAATAAATTTTCAAACATTTACTGTACATACCTTGTATGCAAGCAAAGTGTCACCATTTACTGTATATTGCAATGCTGTATGGGGATAATTGTTTGTTATAAGCATTCTAGAATAGTTAATAACTTGACAATAAGATTATATAACAAGAGGGCCATGATGGCCCTGAGATCGCTCACCTGTATATAGCCCCCCCCCCCCCCCCGGCCAATTTTTACCCAAGGGCTTTTATTTGTTTATTTGAACAGACTTGGTAGACACCCATAAGAAGATGTTTCATGCTAAACATCTAAGTTCTAGCTCATTGGGTTTTTTAAAAGAAGATTTTTTAAGTTTTTACTATACACATATAGTTAAAAACAAGGACACCCCTGGGGCAGGGCCAGTTTTGACCCCCGGGCTTTAATTTGTAGATATTTACTTACAGATGTTTCATGCTTAATATCTAAACTAAAGCTATTTGGGTTTTTCCAAAGAAGATTTTTAAGTTTTTGCTATACACATATAAGGAAAATCAATGACCCCCGGGGCGGGGCCAGTTTTGACCCCAGGGCTTTTATTTGAACATACTTGGTAGACACCCATTAGAACATGTTTCATGCTAAATATCTTAGCTCTAGCTCTTTGGGTTCTTTAAAAGAAGATTTTTTAAGTTTTTACTATATGCATATAGGGAAAATCAATGACCCCCTGGGGCGGGGCCAATTTTGACCCCAGGGCTTTTATTTGAACAAACTTGGTAGACATTCACAAGAAAAAGTTTCATGCCAAATATCTAAGCTCTAGCTCTTACGGTTCTTTAAAAGAAGATTTTTTAAGTTTTTACTATATGCATATAGGGAAAATCAATGACCCCCCCAGGGCGGGGCCAATTTTGACCCCAGGGCTTTTATTTGAACAAACTTGGTAGACACTCACTAGAAGATGTTTCATGCCAAATATCTTAGCTCTAGCTCTTTGGGTTCTTTAAAAGAAGATTTTTTAAGTTTTTACTATATGCATATAGGGAAAATCTATGACCCCCTGGGGCAGGGCCAATTTTGACCTCAGGGCTTTTATTTGAACAAACTTGGTAGACACTCATTAGAAGATGTTTCATGCTAAATATCTTAGCTCTAGCTCTTTGGGTTCTTTAAAAGAAGATTTTTTAAGTTTTTACTATATGCATATAGGGAAAATCAATGACCCCCTGGGGCGGAGCCAATTTTGACCCCAGGGTTTTTATTTGAACAAACTTGGTAGACATTCACTAGAAGATGTTTCATGCCAAATATCTAAGCTCTAGCTCTTACAGTTCTTTAAAAGAAGATTTTTTAAGTTTTTACTATATGCATATAGGGAAAATCAATGACCCCCTGGGGCGGGGCCAATTTTGACCCCAGGGCTTTTATTTGAACAAACTTGGTAGACATTCACAAGAAGATGTTTCATGCCAAATATCTAAGCTCTAGCTCTTACAGTTCTTTAAAAGAAGATATTTAAAGATTTTTCTTTCGGTTGCCATGGCAACCAGAGTTCTGCATGGAATTAAATTCTTTGAACAATTTTCAAAGGTGACCACCAAAGGAACATTCCTGTGAAGTTTGGATGAAATTGGCTCAGTGGTTTATGAGGAGATGTCATTTAAAGCAAAAGTTTACGGACGGAAGGACGACGGACGGACGGACGGACGCTGGACGAAAAGCCATCACAAAAGCTCACCCTGTCACTTTGTGACAGCTGAGCTAAAAATGTAAAATTTCTGGCTACAAAGTAGATTATTTTAGATTTTTTTTATACCGGGACATAAATCATTTCTGGGACATCTCCGGGACAGACATCTTATTTTTGGGACTTTCCCAGACGTCCAGGATGTTATAGCATGTATGCCAAACAGTGTGTTATCAACAACATTTTATATAAGGTAAGTTACAGGTTATGATTTGGCAAAAACAGCCTCCGGAATAAGTTTGCAAATCCGGAATTTTCGCAAACTCAGCTACCTTTTTTAAATTGATTAGAGAAAAAATTTAAAGACCGGTCAATAATAGAGATTGAGTCAAGTAAAACCTGGCCTTTGAAATGACGATACCCTTAAAATTAAATGCAGGGGAGACATTCAAAGTTGGCCGTCCAATGGGGTTTTTCGATTCCCCCACTGGGGATTTGGTCTCCCAGTGGGAGTTTCGTGGGGTTTCATTTCCTCTTTACGAGAATGGGAGAAAAAAATCACGGGAGAATTAAAAAAAATTATATACCATTATTTTAAAATAAAATCACTAATCTTGACTTAAGATATTCCTTCCTAAAAAAATAGATCGAAATATAAATATTTTTAGAATCTCCCATTTTCATTATGGGTGGAACGCACCCATGGGTGAAATCACCCATCTTAATAATGGGAAGAAAATCCTATTTTGATAAATGGGAAAAAAATCCAATTTCTTATAATGGGAGATAATTCCCATTCCTTGCAAATGGGAGAGTGTTCTATCTTTTAGGTGTGGCGCTTATAAAATATAATACAAAATATACGAATAAAATAAAATCCAAAAATCAAATAAAATGGCAGGGAATATGCAGTAAAATAATAATAATAATAATAATAATAATAATAGATAAATAAATAAATAATAGATCTAATAACAAAAATAATAAAAATAATAATAATAATTATTATAATAAGAAATAAAAAGTAATAATAGTAATAATAATAATATTATTAAAAAGATATTAATAATAAAATAGTAATAATAATAATAATAGATAAATAATAATTATAATATACATAAATAATAATAATAATGATAAAAATAATAATGATAATAAAAATAATAATAATAAAATTAATTAATAATAATATCGATGATAATAATAATTATGATAATTATGATTAAAATAATGCTAACAATAAGAAGAAGAAAAAATAATAATAATAATTTATAATAATAATAATAATAATATTAATAGTAATAAAAAATAATAATGATAAAAACAATAATAATAATAAAATAAAAATCATCATAATAACAATAATAATAATAAAAAATAATGATAATAATAATAATTATAATAATTAATAATATTGATGATAATAATATTAATAATAATGATAATAATAATAAGAAGAAGAAGAAGAAGAAGAAATAATACTAATAATAATTAATAATAATAATAATAATAATAATAATAATAATAATAATAATAATAATAATAATAATAATAATAATAATAATAATTATAACAAAACAGGCACTGGCATTTTATCTTGGAATATGACGGGAATGAATACAGGAAAGTGTCATATGTAACGATTTAATCACCAAAATTCATTTAAATATAAAACAATCCAAAATGCTATGATGTACTCTTCGCCGATCTGCTATCTGTATTTTCTGTCTCATCCAGTCTATTTTGACATTCAAATAGTTTCACAAGCTAAATGGCAAGTCTCTCCTGGATTTAAAGTATATAACTTATTTGAATTCATTAAATATAAATACCGCGGTAAGGTTTTTTTTTTCGAAAAACAAACAATATGTTGATCACTTGGTTCAGTTGTAATAATAACCTTATAGAAAACAAATTTTTAATATTGTTCATATAATGGATAACACCAAGTAATTCCAATAATGGAAATTGATTCATTTTTCTATTGTTGTCATCGTCGGATGAAAAATTAGTACTGAAAATTTTTCAAAACAAACAAACAAAAATAAACATTATTTATAAGATTAAACGGTAATATGCTCAAATGGTAATCTAATCGGTGTCATACAGATTTTTAAGACGTAGCGATTAAGTAATAAGGGATGAAAAACAAGTTTGCCGTAAGGCGTGCGTAGCATAAAGCCATACAAGTTGTTATTTTGTATCAAATATAAACATGCAGTCATTGAAAATTGACATAACGCCGCCTGTCAATCAAGCTGACAGGGGCCACGGAGATAAGCCAATCAGCGATCGTTATCAGTTTCACGCTAAGATGCCTGCAAAGTCTACCATTTACCTAAGACAAGCTTCATGTCTATTTAATTTTATGTAAATTTAGAACTATTTAATTAGTACATTTATAAAGTTACCAAATAAACTGGCATATTGACGGGCCGAGTAAGTTTCTTTATTACACAAATAGTCAATAAAGTTCTACATACGGAAATTTATATACAAAAGCAACGCATTATAAAAAAAATCTGTGTTTTTATTCATACCGATTTTACCTGCGCATTTAGGCATAACTATTAAACGGTAACATATATGCTTTACAGTAAATCAAACTGTGAAAAGAGAGATAATAAACAATTCAATTCAAATATATTTATTCAACCAGGTATTAATAAAATACATAAGGGGTTTACAAAATAATATTTTACAATATATATGATCCGGTTGTAAGTCCTGAAAAGATAATGCAGTATTAATAGTCATTAAGTCGTTATTTAAACAGAAATATAAAGATAATACACTTTTTTTAATGTTTTAAAGAAAGAAATATAAATCAAAGTAATTCAAACTGTAAAAAGAGACATAATAAACAAATCAGACAATTACTATTTAGTCACCGCTCAGTTAGCGAATTACAAACAACCAATTGACAATTGCAAGGTTATTCACACCTTCGACGTCCGGTATTGTCAGGGTAATTATCTATATAATTGACTTCATACTGTTAATCTTCCCAATTCTCGATTTTTACAGATTCCGGTATTGTCAATGTTTCATGCAATCGTTTAATGAATGTCTAAATTAATTGTCCGGTATTTAAAGAGTTCCGATATTCACAGCGCCTCGTTTCCTCAACGTTTACTGTAATGTGTTTACTCATTACATTTGCATTTTTACGGCTGCGTTTTTATTGATGCTATACGTTATAAACTACAAAATGTCATATCTTTTGGATATTCTGGGACCTTATTATATGTTTATAATGTGATTATGAATAGGTAATGGCAAAAATTGTGGATTTATTGAAACGTTTTTATTTTTCAATGCATTGTGCTACAGCCA